TGCATTTCTGATCAGTGTACTCTTCTCTCTGTGTGTAACACTTCCCATAAAGATTTTTAAAATGGGCAGGTGTGGTGACACACATCTGTAATTCCAGCACTGGAGAGGCTGAGGCAGGAGGATTGCCATGAGTTTGAGGCCTGCCTAGGCTACATAGTGAATTCAAGGCCAGCCTGGACTACAGAGTGAGACCCTGTCTAAGAAAAAGAATTTACAAACCATGGGGCAGGCGATATAGCTCAGCAGCACAGGACCTTGCCTGTCAAGCACAAGGTCCTGAGTTCGATTCCTGATACCAAAAATAAAATAAAAAACATAGAAATACATAAAACAACCCTATGCATTTTGCAAGAAATCCCAAATATTTGAAGAAATACCTCAACATAGTAGAAAACTGGGTGGGGTTGGGAACAAGGGAAAAATAATATGAACAAGAAGAGGTCTTCACAGGCCTAACAAGGCCATGTGCCATGTGACCTGGTGGGATAAACTCAGCCCTCAGCAATTTAGTGCATGAGAAATAATTGCATTTTAATTGAGAAAACTAAGCAATGAACTCTGATGTTTACACACTGGAGAATACTTTGCAGCTGTTAGAAAACAGAAGACATCTGAAGACACCAAAGGTGTCTAAGGGCAGAGAGGCTGCAGAGCAACCATGTACAACACCCTCAGACCCCTTCCTACCCGGTCACGTGAATCTTCTCCAGGTTCACCACTGTCTTTAAATCCATATCTCACCAGGCATGGTGGCCCATGCCTGTAATCCCAGCACTACAGGAGGCTGAACCAGGAGGATCGCTGCAAATTCAAGGCCAGCCTGGGCTACAGAATGAATTTAAGGCCAGCCTGAACTGAAGAGTGAGACCCTGTCTCAAGACTAAATAAATAAATAAATAAATAAATAAATAAATCCACATCACAGTTCTAAAAAGACACACCCGAACTGGGACTCCAGAGGGAAGTGACATGGAGGGAGGGGTGTCCAAAAGGAATTCTGGTGTTCTCTGTAATATTTTCTGTTTTGGGGGGTGGGGTGGGGTCCTTTGTTTTTATTTGTGTTTTGTGGCACTGGGGATTGAACCCAGGGCCTTAATACTAAACTGCAGCCCCAGCTTTTTTAAAAAATTATTTTTGTTTTGAGAGATGGTCTTACTAAGGCACTAAGGTATCTAGGTTGGACTCAAAGTTATGATCCTCCTGCTTCAGCCTTCCAGAGTGCATGGTGATACAGGTATGTACTACCATGCCTAACTTTATTTTCATTCTCAATAAGAATCTACTTATGAAATTTAACATGCATGAATTTAGGATTAAGCTGGGTGTGATGGCTCAGGCCTATAATTCCATCACTTGGGAAGTTGAGGCAGGAAGATCACCCTGAGTAAAGGACAACCTGGGTTACATAGTGAATTTAAGGCCAGCCTGAACTACATAGAGAGACTGTCTCAAAAAACTGGGGGAAAAAAAAAAAAGGATTAAAGGTACTAGTAAAGCTCAGGGAGGCCCAGAATGTTCTGGGTTTGTACTCTCTTTGGGGTCACTTAAGATTTTTCAAGCCAAGCCTGGGGGCCATCTGTTGCCTGGTGAATTATAGGCATGGGGAATTGGGAAACATGCCCCCCCCCCCCGTGTCTCCATCTGGTTGCATGAACTTGGGAGGGTTCCCTCCTATTTCCTGGTCTCACTGTCCTCATCTGCCCAATGGGAATCGGATTTCTATTTAACCGAGGGACGTGGGAGGGTGAAGCCTGGGCAAGAGGAGAATCTCATGAATGTAAGGGATTATTCTCCAGGTCAGAGGAGGAGGAATCAGAGGCCTCTCTTCCACTTGCCAAGCAGCAAGGGCTCAAAGGAAGTAGAGGGTGGAGCTGGGACCACCCAGACGACCAAAGAGCCCATTCACAGTATCGAAGCAGTCTCAGAGGCCAGGCTTGGTAGGGTAGCCACCCAGGCTGCCTGGAGAATTGGGATACTGAACTGACCTCTCCAGGCTCTCCCAGCCCCAGTGCAGCTGCAGCCAGGTCACCTCTCCAAGCCCCCAGTGTCACCCGCTCACCCCAACATGTACACACACAGTCCTTTCAGCCCACCCCCCCCCCAGGACCAGAGGGCCTTTCATCAGGCAAATCCAATCATGCCTGTGCTTGCTTGAACCCCTCCCATAGTGCCTCGCTGACTGAGAGCAATGCCAATCCTCTGTCTTTGTCTACAAGGCCTGGCAGAAGCTACTGCTCCCCCTCCCAACTCCAGCATCCCAAGACGGGGTCCAGAGCCTGGGCCTGGTTAGAATTCTGGCTCAAATCCTCACTCATTCAAAAAATGTTTATTGAGCACCTACCAGGGGACAGGCACTATTTTAGGTGTTCAGGACCTATTGGTGAACAAAGGAGACAAAGATTCCTGTCCTCATGGAGCATCTTTTGTAGCAGAAAGAGTAACTATAGACACAGTAAGTAAACTACACAGCATGCTGGAAGGTGACAAAAGCTATGAGAAGAAAAAAAGAAGAAAGGAAGCTAAACAGGAAATTGGGAAGGACTGGGATTGTATTTTAAAATAAGGTGGTCAAAGTGAGTTTCACTGTAAAGGTGATATTTGAGCAAAGACTTGTAGGAGGCGAGGGAGACAGCCATGTAGCTATGAGGGAAAATACAGATAGAAGTATCCAGTGCAAAGGCCCTGTGATAGAACCACACCTGACTTATCTGAGGAACAGTGAGGATGTAGGAGGTGACTCAGTGCTAGGAAAGATCACACAGGGACCTGTGGGTCTTAGAGAGGAGTGAGATGGGAGCCATGGAGGGTTCTGATCATTGTGGAGTGGAGGAGGCAGCACAGGGAGAGAGAGGAAGCCCAGCAGGGCTTTGATCTCAGCCAGCATGTGGATGGTGGCTTCAGCCTGCTCCTTTGAGGAAAGCCAGGGTGCGTCACCCCTCAGCACTATCTGCCCTGCACGCTGCTTCAATCCAGGCAAGGAAGAGGGACTTCCAGTCCCTGAGATGGTGAGGTCCAGCTTGGAAGAAAGGTGTACCCTACAAGGGGAATTGATTTTGTTGGCTCCAGTCCCCAAACAAGACCTCAGGAGGCACATCCCCAGACTCAGGGTGGGTATTTCCATCCCAGCACTTGCTTGTTCATGTTTTGATTGCCTTGTCCTCTGGACTGGAGCTTTCTGAGTGCAGGGACCATTCCCGGGTTTGGTTATGTGGACTTTCTATCATGGAGCCTTGGAAGTGATTTCACGCTTATGAAATAAGCAGTTATGAAATATAAGCAATCTCCAAGAGTCCTTCTAAGATCTGACCATGCTGAATCTTGGATATGAGTATGACTCTCCTCTCCAGCTTCCAGTTGCCAGGAGTGGCCTCTAAGGGCCCGTCATATCCAAGAAACTGCTAACAGGAGCCTCCCTCAACCTCTCTCCCCAGATCCACCCGGCAGGGTCAGGGGTCAGCCTGCCCAGCCTCTCCAGGCACTGAGGCGGACCAGATGAGCCTCAGTTTTGGGCAGGCCCGAGGGATGTCTGTGAATCTCCTTTGGCAAATGGCCCCCTTCCGTCACAAGGCCTGTGCCTACATTTCTGAACCAGAAGGTGTTTACACAAAACATCCTGGGTTTGGCGACAAATTCACCCTCAATGAGGAATCCTTAATGAGTCTCCCTCCTTCCCCACACCAGGCAGCTCAGGGAAGATTAGCTTTGCCTCTGGTAGTTGAGTAGAGCTGAAGGCCAGGCAAAGTGGAGGGGCTTCTGGGGCTTCCGGGGCCACAATTTGGGGGAGAGTCTAGAGGCAGCTGTGGGATGCAGACCACAGCATTTCCTGCCCCAGGCTTGCACCTGACTTGCTGTGTGATGAGGCACTGCCCCTCTCTGGTTGAAGTGTGCAGGTGTGAGACAGGGCAATAACAAAGTACACAAAGATTTCTATGAAACTGAATCAAGGCAGTGTGAGAGGGCCAAATTATCACGAGTCAACGGGGGAGAATAAAGCTGGTTATAGCGGCACATGGCTGTGATCCCAGCACTCTGGGAGGCTGACTCAGGAATAGCCCAGCTGAGGCAACTTAGTGACTTAAGGAGACCTATCTCAGGATAAAAAAATAAAAAGGACTAGGAATGGAGTTCAGTGAGAAGGCCCTAAATTCAACCCTCAATACCAGAAAAACAAAAAAAAAAAAAAGTAGGGAAGATAAAAAGCCAGAATGAGGGAGGCAGGAGGCAGGGTCCTCACCTCCATCTGAGCCTCAGGTGAGCCTGGTGTTTGCAGCTAGACAATGGGGGATGGGCACAGAGGTCTCTAGGGAACCCTCTGGTTCCACCTTGCCACTGCTGCTGGCTGCCTCTTCCGGGAAGGCCTCTGGGATCCTGCGGCCCCCACTGATGTTCTTGCAAGGCTGCATTCCTGGGCTGGCACTCCCTGCTCACTGCCCAGTTCTCCAGGGCCTTATCGGGGTCTAAGTCGACTACGTTGGACATTGGGCTTAGCAAGAGTCTAATGAGCACTGTGTTCAGGGAAAATTTAAAGTGGTTACTGCTTCTTTTCTATTCTGTGGAGAGAGAGGAAAATTTCTATTCCCTTTTATTAAGAGATTGGAAACTGCAGGAGTCAAAGGTTAGATATAAGTCACACTTCCACATGGGCTTTCTTGGTGTTCCTTAAACAGGAGAAAAATGACTTATACATCTTCAAACCCTTTATTACTACCTTCCATAGTAGATAATTATATAATTATTTATCATTAATTGCCGGAGTTTCTTACTAGGATGAAGTTCCAAGAGGGTAAGCATTTTTTTTCTCACTGCTACATCCTCAGCACCTTAAACAGCCCCGCACATAGCTGGTTCTCAAGCAGCATTTGACGAGAGGGAGGGGTAAGAAGCAGCGCCTCCGGCTGTGCACTTTCGGGCCTGCAGGGGGCGCTCCAGCCCCTCCAACGGCAGGCCCCGCCTCTGGCGTCGCTCTGACGCTATGCGTCGGAGTTTGCGCGCCGTCCTTCTATCACTGCGCAAGCGTGCCGGAAGTCCCGCCATTGCGGCGCGTGCGCAAGGGGAGTCAGTCAGACCCAGAGCGGGTCCTCAGCGCACTCGAAGAGAGCGGCGTGAGAGTCGCGAGCCCAGCGGCGGAGCCATGCTGTCCCCGGAGGCGGAGCGGGTGCTGCGATACCTTGTTGAGGTGGAGGAGCTCGCCGAGGAGGTGCTGGCGGACAAGCGGCAGGTAGGAGGCCCTGCCGTGGCGCCGGGGTCGCCGTGAATTGACCTGGCTGGCGGCCTGGCGGCCCCCGACGAAAGCAGTTCGAGATAACGTGGGTCAAACGCTGGCTCGACGTGGTGCCTCCCTCTCTCCTCCAGCTGGTCCTACGCGAACGCCTGCTCTGTGCTGGGCAGCGCCCGGTCGTCTTTCCTGCCCCTTCCGGATTCTGACCCATTGTCGCCCTGGGCGGTTTCAAATACTTGCTCATCTTTTTGACGTATTAGCATTTCTCTTTTTGTGTGTGGTACCGGGAACGGAACTCAGGACCGTGCGCTCGCCAGGCCGGCGCCTGTGCCGCTGAGCTATATCCCCGGCCTGCCCGGGGCGGTTTCAGAGTGCAGTTCTGGACTCGGTCCTTGATCTCCGAGCTCCGGCCTAACCCAAGGCCGTGAGGAGACGGAGGGGCAGAGGAGAGGCTCGCCTGGGGGCCGGGAGAGGGTGCTGGTCCTGGAAGGCCGTTCAGACGCGCAGGGGCGTTTGCCTCTGGTTCTAAGTTAGGGGCCGAGCCTTGGGAGGGGCTTGGGGTCGGGGTGATGTTTTTGGATCTAGGTTATAAAAGGATCCTTGTGGCTGCTGCGCGGAGTGTAGAATGCGGGAGGCCGGGGTCGAGGCAAGGAGACCAGCAAGGAGCCATGGCCGTAGTCCAGGCTCGAGATTGATTGGGACCAGGTGGTGGTGATGGAGAGAGTCAGTGATGAGAAGTACACTTTGAGGGTGGACTCCGTAGGCTCTAATGATGGTTACGGAGACAGCTGGGGCAGCTGGAGGAGGCAGGCATGGTTTATGACTCCCTCTTACCTCCAGTGAGCAGGCTTAGGTGGTTGTCAGGCAGTGAGTGAGAAAGGGAGGGCGTGGGGAAGCCTGTCAAGTTAAACACCACAGGATGACACTGATAAATTCGTACCAGTTAAGGCTGATCAGTCAAATACCTACAGTGTGTCAGGTACTGTTAGCTCATTAAGTTCTTTGCTCAAGGCACAAGGTACACGCCCCAGGATTCGAACCTGGATGTTGTAGCTCCCGAGCCATCACTCTCAAAGCAGAATTGGCACTGCTTCCTCACTTCCAGAGTAGTAGTTGTGCTAGTATCTCTACTGCTGCTGCCCCTGTCTAGTATTACTGGGGAGGTTGTTGTTTTGAGATAGGGTCTTGCTGTGTAGTCCAGGCTGGCCTTGAACTTACTATGTAGTACAAGCTGGCCTCAAATTTGTGACAATCCTTCTGCATCAGCCTCCCAGGTGTGGTGTGTGCCACCACGCTTGCCTGTTTTGGAGTTTCTTAAACTGGGTCAGAATTAGCTAGAAGAGCTGGAAATAGAGCTTTTTAGGACTAGTGAGTCACAGTGTCATAGAGGAGAAAGTTTCACTCCCTGGTGATTCTCAAGTTTGAGGGGGTAATATAAAGTTACCTATTTAGTCAGCAAACATTTTCTCAGCACCTTCTAAGAATCAGGCTCCTGTGTAAAGTGTTGTCTTTAAGAACCTGGAAGCTTAGTGGGAGGAGAAAGATATTCACACATCAGTCCATTTTAGGAAGTAACCCAGGAGTGGCATGTCCTCAGCCTCTTATCTGTTGCTAGGTTGGGGCAACAGGTAGCTGACCTTCCATCTGCTCCTGTTTTCAGATTGTGGATCTTGACATCAAGAGGAATAAGAACCGAGAGGGCCTAAGGGCCCTACAGAGGGATCTCAGCCTTTCTGGTAAGTTGTACTTCCTTACTGCAGCCCCAGAAAACCTGTTCAGTCTTTCTTTGAAGGCATTTCTTGTCCCTGGTAGAGATGGGAAACTGAAATAGCTCATGGAGAAGAGAGAGGAGATGTTGTGGGTCTGACATAGAGACTGTGGCTCAGGATTTTAGCTGCTCACTTCAGTGACTGCTGTTAGCTTCTGGCTCACTGGTGATGGCAGACACTTGAGAGTGGTGGGAGCAAAAATGACAGCTCCTACCCTTGTTGCTGTACAGACAAGAAAAGCACATCAAGTAGATCACTGAAGTGTGACATAGCAAATGATGGAGTTGGACAGGTGTTAAGGATACAGGAAGAAGGTGGGGTGGGCTCTTGAGATGAGCCAAGTGGCTGTGGCATAAGTAGAGGACAAGGGACCTGAGTTGAGCCTGGAGAGATGGGCAGTAACCAAGTCATAATGAAGGGCCTTGAGGTCCAAAGGAAGACTTTGTGTTTTATTTAAAGTGCACTGGGAAGTACAGAACCTCATCAAGTAAAATCCAGGGTTGTTCCGCAAGACTCCCATGTAACCCATCCCCCCATGGACTCTGCCTGTCTTCTGTCCCCTCACTCATTGACTAACACTGGTACTTGTTGTTCCCAATACCCAAGTGTACGATAGATCCTTGCTGTTACCGTTTCCTCTGCCTGGTTCCCCCTTTCCCAGATACACCCTCACTTTCTTCGGGTTTTTGCCAGATGTCACATTATCAGTAAGGCCTTGGACCACTGGCTATAAGTAACAAGTCCCTCTCCTATTCCAGCATTCTCTGTCCCTCTTACCTAGCTTTGTTTTTCACTACATCCCCTATCAGAGTCTGACATCCCTTATCAGAGTCTTTGCTTATTTCATGTCCTCCACTGTAACATGAGCTCCATAAGGGCAGGAACCTTTATTTTCCTGTGTTATCAGCATCTACAGTGCCCGATAGTACGTTGGTACACATAAAATACTTGGAGAATGGATGTGGTGGTGCACACCTATAATCCCAGCATTCGGGAGGCTGAGTCAGGAGGATTGCTGTGAGTTCAAGGCCAGCCTGGGCTACATAGTGAGCTCAAGGCCAGCCTGTACATAATGATACTCTTGTCTCCACCAAAAAACCAAAACAGTACTTGAAATTATCCTTTCCATTTCAGAAGATGTGATGGTTTGCTTCGGGACTATGTTTATCAAGATGCCTCACTCTCGGGTGAAGGATATGATTGAAAAAGGTAATCCTGCCTGGGGCTAGGTCAGAGTTCTGCCTGTTTTTCCCACCTGCCTGGGCTTAACCCAGAACTGAGATTCAGGCTTTCGCCAGTCTGATGGAAGACAGAAACCCTGTGTTACAGGGTTCATACTGATAGGGGTTTTCATCCCTTCTCTGCTAGTGTGGGTTATTTCCTCATCTGTAAAAGCAGACGCATCTACATAACACAGCTGTAGAGTTAAGATAAGAGTGCGTGCGTGTGTCTGGCAGGGTACTTGTGTATCAGTGAAGAATGGATTGATTACAAACAACAGAAAATCCAACAAATTGAAACTTAAGGAAGTAGGGTTCTGTTTTTCTCATGTGAAAGTTTGCCCAGAGGACAGCACATGTCCAGCTGTGGCACCTGGCATGCTGTGGTGGCCGTTGTGCCACCAGTGCAGCGTCGCAGGCTTTGTGTCCACATGCCAGGGTGGAGGGAGGGCAAAACGCTTCCTCCTCAATGGCCTTGCCTTCTTTTGGGGAAGAAGGCCATTCTCCCCAGGGACTTTCTGCTAACACCTCACTGGCCAGAACCACCCATCACTGCGAGGGAGCCTAGACGACTGCGCTTTTATTTCTCATAACCCTGGCAGTAGAGACTGGGTTGAAAATGGAAATCTGGGGGGAGCAAACCTTTAGGGGAGTGATGGTGAACCTGTCAGAGCTTCTAATAATAACAAACAGCCAGCTGTGGCACATGTACTGTGGGTTCACCACCACTGCTTTAGGGTGTGCCACAGCCTGGGGACCCAACATTACCTAAGTCTCAAAAGCCATGAGATTCTAGAGCTCGTTGGAGAAGCATCATGAGGGTTTAGGATCTGATGCTGGGTTCTGCTGGCCCACACACGTGACCTAATCATTGTACCTAGAGGGTTTCTAGAACATCTCCAGGGTTGTGAGCATCAGGCTAAATAATTTCATGGCTTCTCGGGGATTGACATGGACTAGACAAGCTTACAAGGCATTGCTTATTTACAAAGAACAGCAGAACCATCACCCAGGGCCCGAAGGTTGGCCAGTCAGGGCTTCTGTCAGAAAGGATGAAAGGCTATGGGAAGGCAGGCTAGCCAGAAGGTCTCTTAGAGCAGATGGAGTGTCTGTCACAGCAGTCAGTGGGTCACCAGCCTCTCATCACACCACTGCTCTGAGGTGCAGCCCATGACTATTTGGGTGACCTTTTGTGTTCACTGGGTTATTAAGGTTTAGCTGGAACGTTTAGGCTCACTCACTGATTATTTGAAGTCACATGTTTCCACAGTTGTACTTCTCTAAAAACTCCATACCTTGATGGACTTGTGTTTGTACAATTGCTCAGCCATGTCCGGGTCCGCTGGGTCCTCATTCTGCTCTCACCAGTAACCTTTGTATAATTTTACTGTGGGAAGGTGGCCTATGGGTCTGATGCTGCTGCCCTGTGCACTGCCACCCCAGTATATGGTGCGCAGTGAGAAGAAGACCACTGAGCCAGAAGTGAAGATGGGCTAGGCCAGCTGAGTGGGCTGGGCAGGTCATATCCCTCTGGCTTTTAGTCCCTTGCTCCTAAGAGGCTAGGGGAGGCTGGTGTCCCCACTGCCTGGGCTCCTCTCTCTGAAGTACAGCCTTATTCTCTGTTTGCCTGCCTCGTTTTCAGATCAGGACCACCTGGATAAAAAAATAGAAGAACTTCGGAAACAACTTAAAGTGAAAGTCAGCCGCCTCTTTGAGGCTCAAGGTATTGTCCTGGGGGAACTGGGAACCAGGAGGGCAAAGAATTGGCAGTACCTACTCAGAAGGGCAGGAGTGGGAAGCCCCCAAGAGATGGGCCATGGCCAGGGCCATGTGTGCGTGGCGCTAGAGGTGTAGGCAGTGGGCAGTGGTTGGTAGCTGCTGACTGGTGGGATGGATAGGGAGGCTTGAGGGTCTTACCCCTGACACAGCTTCTTTTCTAGGTACCAGGCCTCAGACGATCTCACATTACATGCTAGGCTAGCTTTAACAGGAATCTTAGCAGGTCTCAGTCAGGGGCAAATAGTAGAGCTGAAGTTCTGGGTAAACCCAAGCATTCCAGATAGATCACAGGTCTGACAAAAATCTGGCTGTCTCTAACAGCAGCCCTGGCTTCAGAGGTTGTCCATTGTGGAGGACCACTCAGATGACTCTCCTTAATAGAAGAGTGATTATCTCTACCTTGGCTAAATCTGGCCCTGTTTCTGTGTATTGATATGTACAGAGCTGGCTAAAACTTTTTCTTACCCTTTAACTGGCTTTAAGCAATGCAAATCAGTCCAGCTGAGGTGCTGATGTGTATAGTCTTTGAAGCAATGCAGCAGGGCAGTGTTGCCCTGCCAGACAGCTCCCAAAAAAGTGAGAGAGGGGATGTGGGGTAAGGGGCAGGAGGGAGAGCTGCACATGGGATCTAGTCTCCAGACAAGAGACTATGACTTCCCAGGGCATAAAAAATTACACATCAGAGCTGAAGCCTGACCCGAAAACATTAGATACTGCCTCGAATTGTGTTATGCGGGTCACTCTTCCTGCAAGTTGCAGAGGTGATTTCAGGTCCCCTGCCTAGCCCAGCTGGCAGCACTCAAGCACTCACGTACTTCCTGCCACTCTCACACTCATCCCCAGCCAGTCCCCCATCACAAATTAATAAAACCTGGGTTTAGCCTGGGGTCAGGGCCTTTGTTCTGGTTAACCATTATCTTAGCTAGACTTAGAACCCCTTGGCTCCCCACCATCTTGGATATACAATTGTGCTTTTATGCCTTGGGCTGCACTGGAAGTGATAGACTGGAACAGACTCACTAGAATTCCAGTGATTGGAACAGACTCACTAGGATTACACATATAAACTTCCTGGACTGCAACGAGATTGAGGAAGGGCTTTCTATAGTCCATGGTATATCACCCAGAGGGAGTTGAGGTATATCACCCAGTGCGTGCTAGGTCTGAGGTCTGCTCCCGTCAGACCTTGGGGCAGGCTTGGCAGTGTAAACACAGTGCGAGCCACTCTGCTGGGTTGACTCCTGAGCCAGCAGTATGTGGGGCAGTGGGAGGCCAGGCCTGATCATGCATTGTCTTCTCCCCACAGGCAATCCGGAGCTGAAGGGCTTTAACTTGAACCCACTCAGTCAGGATGAGCTTAAAGCTCTTAAGGTCATCTTGAAAGAATGAGACTCAAGTACCAAGATGGAGACGTACAACCACCATCTCCCCTGCAGTCATGGAGGCCCCAGCATTTCTGGCCTTGAAACCTGCAATGACAGGATTGGCCCTTCAAGGGCTCAGGCATCAGGAATCTGGTGTGGCTTCTGCACAAAGCTTCTGTCATAGCTCTTGGCTGCTGTGCAGTAGCAGGGACCCCTCAGCCTGTCCCTGTGTGCTGTGCCTGCCGCCTGGGGCTTGGTGGACACAGGACCTATTGACAGGGCCTGGCAGCCACCAGTCGGTGTGGGCGTGAGAATGACTGCAGCAGGCGCTTCTCAACATTGGCCTGCTGTCCAGATGGGCCCCAGGCAAGGGCACAGGGGACGGAGAGGGGTGGAGCAGGAACTTCCAGCAGGCATTCCTCAGAACAGAGAGGCAGTTTGGGTCATTGAGTGGTGGGAGTGGACCAGAGCAGGAGACAGCTAGTGGCCTCTGCAGGAATCACAGACTGGGTGCCCCATGTTCACACAGGCCTCCGGGGGCAGACACATTACCCTACTCGCTCTAGCTCTGGCCTTGTTCCTGCTGCGTGCCAGCTGTGACTGCTCTTGGGTAGGAAGAGCCTTGCTGAGGTGGCCCTGGGAGGCCCAGTGAGTTACCCACCTGCTGCTCTCTGAGCACCCTCCCCTGCCTTTCTGGTCTGAGATCCTAATGTTTGTACTGTAGGGACAGAACTGTCTTGTAGGTGCTTTGAGGGCTCAATAAATGTTTCTTAAATGAACAGATAACTTAGTCTTTACCTGAGGGCATAGCACTTCTTTGGAGTGCTGCCTGTAGAGGAAAGATGGCTTAGGTGGATGACAAGTGACAAAATGGAGAGGGTACACCTCACCTGCTTTTGTTCCAAGTAGCCTATGGTTACATGGGAACATAGGCTTAAGTTTTTCAAAAGGTGCTAGAATAGGTTAAGTTGACTCTCCTGTCTTAAAATATTGCTGATTCAAAAAATGTTTTAGCCGGGTGTGGTGGCACACGCGTATAATCCCAGCACTCGGGAGGCTGAGGCAGGATCGTTGCAAGTTCAAGGCCAGCCTGAACTACATAGTGAGACCCTGTCTCAAAAAGTTTTAAAATGTGGGTGTCCATCAGGCTGAACACCTCCCATAAGCCCAATGTGGCCCAGCCCTACAATTTCACATTTTGAGTTTTTTGCTCCCCATGATGACCCTAAGAACCGGGTGGGGTTGGACTCAGCTGTGTGTCCTGCGTTGGGGGCCTGGTTGAGGGAATCCGGGCTCCAGAGTGGGCTGCTGCCCAGCTGTGGGCAGAGGTGAGCAGTCCCAGCACACTAATGTGAACAGGCTCCAGGACGCAAATGAGAAAAGCAAGGGCAGAGCAGGTGTCTGATCCACTTCATGGCTTCCCGCACAGAAAGGGCAGAGTTGGGGGTGAAGGTGAAAAGGAAGATAATTGATCTTTGAACCATATGGATGTGTTGCATATTTTAAAATACAAATTTAAAAAGTAGGGATTTGTAGAATTCCCTGGTAGATGCTATCTGGTATGGTTGCCTGGGTTACAGTTTCTCTTTGGAAACATTTCTGATTCCCCAGGAGTGTGGATGCTAGGCCCAAGAGCCAGTCACTTTTTCTAGTACAGAAAGTTGAACCCAGACCCATTGCACTGAGCTAAGTCCCTGGTCCTTTTTATTTATTTTGAGACAGGGTATCAATAAGTTACCCAAACCTGGCCTGGAACTTGCAGTCCTCCTGCCTCAGTCTCCCAGAGTGCTGGGATCACAGGTGTGCATGATCACACCTGGCTTAATTGTTTCTCCTGGCAGTGGAGCTGGCAGGGATGGAGGGAAGTCCTGTGTTGTGGAGGCAGAAGGTTCAGAGTAGCTCCACTCCCGGCCTTCCTGAGGCCAGCTGGCTCACTTCTTGGATTTGCCAGTATTATCTCCAAAAAAAACGGCTTAACCTAGACAGGTTCTGCCCTTTGAAACCAGAACTGCCCAGAGCAGGGAATGGTAGTGGGAGCTGCTTGGGGCCTCCAAGATGCCTGAGACATTTAGCTGACAGTGAAACACATTTTTATGAGACCTGCCCTAAACAGCTCTGCCTTCTCAATCCTCACCTTGCCCACCTGAGAAATGGGGGTGTTCTGTCCCAGTGGTTTTCAAGTGGTACACAGTGGAGATCATGGGTTTTCTGAAGTAAGGTCAGGGTTTTGCAGAAGAGAGGATATGTTTAGGACTCAGCACTTCTCCAGACTTTCAGTAAACAGTCTAACAACTGCTTGGTTTGTGACTCACAGGTTCCCTAGCCCTAGGGGCCCTTTCGGCTGACCTGAGACATAAGATGCTAAAGCCAGGAGGACTTGGCTGATGGCAACAGCATCCCTTGAGCCAGGCCTGGTGCCAGTGACTCTAAGCAAGGCCTGAGCTCGTTTATTAGACATGATCTTTCCAGGGGAGCACAGTTTACTGCACTTGTCTTCTGTGGGCTCTGGCACCAAGCCAATCTGTCAAGGTTAAAGCCTGTCCAGGCCCAGGATTGGCTGTCTTCTGGTGCAGTGATGCCCAGGAGCAGGCTGGGCAGATGCAGGGGCCCAGTCCAAGCAGCAAGCAGCCTGTGCTTAGCCAGCAAAGCTGCTGCCAGGCTGGAAGGAGGGAGAGGAATTCGATGAAGTGCGCTGGCAGGAATCAAGCAGGGAGAGGCCAGGGTGGACCTTCCAGACTTTCCTCCGTGCCAGGGTCAACTGGAAGCTTTCTTCTGGACTTGAAGGGAGCGGAACAGCTGCTGCAGCTGGTTTTTCCTATCATTGACACAGCCTGGAAGGGAAATAAGGTGTTGGCTAGGACAGTGGGGGTGGTGTGGGGGTTTGCATCCTGGCTCCACTTCTGAAGTGCCCTAGTGCTCAGCAGGTCATTTACCCGCCCAGAATTAGCTTTCTCAGCCAGGATAAGGACCCACCTTATGCAGTGGACAGAATTCATCAGGAAACCTGGCACCAACTGGGGCTTACCTCGGCCCAGAGGGCATCAGGTGCTAGACTCAGGAATTTCAACCCTCATAGGAATGGTGTGCACAAGGGACAGCAGGCTAGAAGAGTTTGAATGATTTGCCCCCGTTTCCAAAAGTAGCAGAACTGGGTCTTGAACCCAGACTGTCTGGTGCCAGAGCCACACTCAGCCACCATGCCCCGCCCCCAGCATTGCCAGCCAATTTTACTCAGTGGAAATGTATTAAAGCTAGCACAGTGCTGATACCCGACAGACAGGCTGCAATAAATGTTAGCTTTCTTCCCTTTCCCAGCTCCTGTGCTGGGCTCAACTGAGAGGAGCTTTCTCGACAAGTGGCCCCTGGCAAGCGTGTCCCAGGCAGTCATGCCCAGATGACCTGCTGAGGTGCCACCTCTCCCAGCGTGGTCACAGTGCAGTCATCTCCTGCTTGCTGTCAGAGCCAATCCTTAAGGCAGCTCCGCAGCATTTAATCTTGTGGGCACATTGCAGGCATCTGTACATGTGACCACAAGTACTGACCCGAAGGTACCTGTCTCAGCACCTACAAGCCCTGTCGCTGCCTCAGGGGCACTGAGCTGAAGCCCCACTATGTGTACCCCCAGGGTTCTTCAAAGTGAGTTCCGTGGCATCCTAGCTTTTACTGTATTTGGTTCTTAATGCCAAATCTTCATGACCAAAGCAAACCCCCCTTGGAGCTCTAGACACAAGTCTAAGTTATCTGACCTTTTCACCCAGATGACCCTGGATACATCCCTAGCTCAGTCCTCAAATCATCAGTACCAAAGTAATTTCCTCTCTGTTTACCACCATCCACCAAAATACTTGACTAGAAACTTGGGAATAGTTGTAGAGACTTCTAAATCAGTGGCTGGCTGTCTATCTGGGCTGCCTGTTTGAGTCACTGGGAGCTTTAAAAAAATACTGATGCCCATACTGGGCATGATGTTGCACGCCTGTAATCTCAGCACTCTGGGAGGCTGAGGCAGGAGGATCTCAAGTGCAACCCCAGCCTGAGCAACTGTGTGATTTGGTGAGACCCTCGAACTGTGTAAAAGCAGAGCTGGGGATGTAGCTCAGTACAGAGGCTCTGAGTTCAATCCCCAGTGCTGCAAACAAAACATGCTCAGGCCAGCTACATCTGTATCTCTAGTAGGCATCAGTATTTTTTAAAAGCTCCTGAGTGATTCTGGTGTGTAGCTGAGTGTTCTCTATCTGTGCTATTGAAATGTGAACCCAAGAACCAGCAGCCTCCGTATTGGGAGGGGACTGTCTACAGACGTGGCCACAGTTCCTCCCATTCCTATGTACGCAGCTCTGCAAGGTGACTTGGCCGTTCTCACCAAGAGGTGAGTCCTGTTTCCTCACCCTGTGACTCCAGGCTGGCCATGCGAATTGCTTTGAGCAGTGGCATGTAGCAGTGGGACTTCTGAGCCTCAGTCTCCTGAGCCTTTGCCATGTCTTTTGGAATCCTGGGCTGACCATGCTGGGAAGCCGAGGCTACACTTAGCAGCTCGTGCCCCCGTGGAGGAAGTGGCCTGGCTGACATACAGCATCAATCCCACTTGGAGAGTGAGGCTCCCCTAGGTTATTGCATGTCACTGAAGCTGCCAGGGGTCTGTACCCCTGTGAGTGACAAGAGGAGACAGGAAGAATCATGAGCAAACCAAAGAGCTGTTTTAAGCTGCTAGGTTTGAGGAGGGTGTGTTGCACAGCAGTGGTTAACAGCATTGCCTGGAGCTTGTCAAATGTGCAGATCCCAGGCCCCATCAGGTTTCCAGGGGACTACGCACAGTAAACCTGGAGAAGCATCATGTAGTCATCCGCCAGAACCGGATGTGGCAGACCTGGGGATCTGCTGTAGAAAGCAAATCAAAAACCCCTTTTTCCTTTGTCTTGCTGCAGGCACACAACCTGACACACCAAGCTTTCTTGCCACTGGGATGGTGGGGGGGGTGTCCTTCCCTTTTGGAATGAAAAGTCAGAGTCTTAAAGAGAAGGCATTGGCACTTGAGCTTTTCTGTTTCTTCCTCCCTGGGACAAGGACACAATGTCTGGAACTGGAGCAGATATCTTTCAACCATGAGGCAAAAACCGTGATCACCAAACCAACCTGCTGAGTATGGCAAGGCACAAGAGGAAGGACCTAGGTCCCTGGGGCATCATAAACTTGTTGGCCTCTGTGGCCACCTAAGACTTCCTGTGAAATGATCAGCCCCTTGTTATTTAACTATTAGGTGGTGTTTCAGTTACAAGAAGCCAAATCCAGCCCTAAATCCCCCTAAACCCTGAGAAACAAATTTCTTTTTATCATCAAAGAAAAAAGTCACCACAAAATACAACTGAAAAAGCAAATTGACAAACCCAGGAAAATATTCACAGTATGTTTAACAGAGGGGTGTTATCTTTAGCACGTTAATACCCAAAACGTTGATAAATTTAGAAAACTCTAAGCAACCCCCAGAGAAATAGACTAGAGAGCTTACAAAAGGAAAAATGCAAATCAAAAATCTGAAACCTCAGCAGTGCTCACTGGAATGCACATGGGACAGTAAGGAGTCAGCACTTTTCACCTATCAATTTGGCACAGATTTTTCTTCCTTTTTCAATTAAAAACTGGCAAATTGGCATACTCTTTCTGGAAAGCAGTTTGGTTGTAGGAAGTCCAACCCTTTGATCCAGTAATTATGCTTCTAGGAATCTGTCCTAGCAAAACAGCCAGAATTTCAGTTGAGTTTTATGGAAAAGGGTGCTCATTGTGGCATTATTTATGAAAGTAAAAAAATAGAATCGTGTCAACTAGCCAATTATAAGAAATCGGCTTGGTAAATGTTGGCATATGTGCAAACTAGAACGTTTTGCTGCATATGGTAATTTTGTTCTTAATTCTGCTAAGGAGCAGGAGTCTTTAGCTGGCAATGTCCAGGTTTTAGAGTCAAAGAGACTAGAGTCTGAGTCCTCATCACTTAGGACCAAGACCTCAGCAATCTAGGTAACCTCTGGAGACCACTTCCTCATCTGTATAGTGAGCACAAAAGCGCCTAAAGGCGAAGTGAGTTAATGTGTATAAAACGTTTGGTTTAGACCTGGCTACACAGTGCTTCCAAATGGGAGGTTCTTAATATTCTTGGATGGAAAAATGGGACTCAGAACTCCAGCTCATGCCAATTTTATAAAAGAAAAAGTATGAATATATGCATTTTTTAAAAACTACAAGGAAACAGGCCAGATTGTTAAAGATGGTTATGTCTGGATGTTTTTTTAAATTTCCTTCCTTAGTTTTCAAATATTCTCCAGTGAGCATGAATAATTTTTATAAGCAGGGAAATTTTTCACTCTTTAGAAACCAGCTTTAAGGTCAAGCTCTGAGGTCCTTTATTTCTTTTAATAATAAGGAATAGATGTTTGGGGTTGTTTTCCACCTAAGTATTTTGAAACCTACCTCCTGAAAGATTAATAGTATCTCTATGTGTCTTACGCATATACAGAAACTATTCCATCTCCATTTGACAGATGAAACACAGAGATTCAGAGATTCAACACAGCTGCTAAGTTGCAGATTGAGTTAATCACAGTGCTATGCTGGATGCCTCCTGCACCACCTGGCACCTCCCAGGACATTCCTGGCACCCACCTCCCACCTGCCCTGCATACCGAGGTGTGTGTTGGTCACAAAGTTTCCCATCCCCGGCAGGTCAGGAGCCCCCTCCTCTCTGCTCACAGGACCGTCATTCCACATGAGGTCAAAGCCTCCAACTCGCTTTTCCTTTCCTGTGAGCCTGGACCAACAACAAACACGGGGTTAAGGAAGGTGCTGCTGGTGGGGCCAGGTCTCCTGGGATTGTACTGGCACCTGGCCCACCAGAGCTCCTGTTGTGCCCAACTATCCACCAGCTGTACCCTGGTGACCAGCCACGCAGGTTTCTGAGGGTCGTCCCTGAAGCCCCCACACTTACCATGTTAACAGTCCCTTGATTTGTGATTTCTGGCATAGTCTGCTTTTCTCCCAAACTAAAAACACCATGGAGGTAGCACTAGGTCTGTCATGCCCTTTACTGTGTCCTCAGTGTGTGGCACAGGCCTGGCCACAGCAGGGGCCCAAATTCTTGTTGAATGAATAAGCATCGATTTCACCTTTCAGTCCAAGAGTGCCTCAGTTTTTCCTTTAAGGACCTCCCCCTCCCCACATGGTGGGGTTGACAGTACCCCAGGGGAGGTGGACACGAGACCTAGGCCTGCCCAGGGTCATAATGACTGGTCCTGGAATCAGCATGTGAATCAACCCCACCAACAATGAGAATTAGCCCTCCAGCTTTTGCTGGAAATAATTGGGAAAATCTGATATATAGAAGAAAGAGGAGAGGAGAGGAGAGAGAGAGAAACAGCAACACACACACACAACTGGGAGGGGTCATGAGTGTGAGAGCAAATGTGTTCAAGGTAGAAAAGTAGGGAGAGAGAAAACAGACCTACCAATTAACACTGACTGAACACTTAGATTCACCCGGGCCCGAAGCCAGCCCCTGGTTTTTTTTTGTTTATTGCATTATGTACACATTGTTAGAACAATCAATAGCCTACTGAATACTTATCACAAGCTAGGCACCTTGAGGGGTGGTCATGATGCTTCCTATTTTACAGATGAGGAAACTGAGGCTCAGAGAGATAAAGTGATTTGTTCCCAGGACCCACAGCCAGGAAGTTTTGGGTAAATCCTTCTTGACTGAGTCTCTGAAAACTATAGATGGCCACTGTGCTCTGGAGAAGTCAAGCCCTTGGGCCAAAAACCACTTATAAGGGCACCTAGTTTCCCCACTTGTGAAATGGTCAAGCAGGCCAGATCTACCTCTGGGCCCTTCTTGCTCTTAGTGGCGGCCCCACTGCCGTAGACAGCGTGTGGCTGAGGCCACCCTCACCTGGCTTCCATGTCCACCACATGCAGCGTGTCCTCCAGCAGGCAGGTCTTGAGCTCATAGTCTTCCTGGCTGCTGGCTGTCAGTGAAGGGGAAGCATTGACCTCCAGGAGCCACCTGGGACCGAGGGAGGGACAGCTTGAGGGTTAATTGGTTCCCGGAGCCACTGGGATGTCACTGAAGCTAGACAGGTGCCTGGGTCCCACTCCCAGACCAAGCAGGGCAGCTCCCTCCATCTGCTCACCCTGGAGAAAAGCAGCTAGAAGCAGCTCTTCCTAGCTGTGTCTACACTGGGCACTCGCCTGGGCTGTCAGGGCTGGGAGATGGCAGGAGGAGCGGAGACTGTGCTGAGCTGGAAAGGGCAGCTGAGTCTAAAAGGGCATTTCTGGGGCAGTGTCACCCTGCGGAGTGCGAACCCAAATGGCAGGTTGCTCTGAGCTTTCCAGAAAAGCCAAAAATCCTAAATTTTGTGTAAAAACCTCCCAAATTTTAGAGCTTGTCCATAAATTTAAACAGAAAAACATTCTGAAGGCCAAAATCAAGTGCATCTGGAGGCCACGGTCAGCCCAAGGAGCTCCAGCGCACAGCCTCTCGCCTTGTACAAACCTTCATTTTAGACAGGAAGCTGGGGCACAGAGCGGGAAAGGCTCCTCAGCAGTCAGTGGGGGACCAGGGATCGCCTTCCCGTTCTCTGCTGCCTGCATCCAGCTTATCCCCCTCAGTGTCTACCCTAAAGCCACTGCCACATCTTGCTGCAAAGAGGAGGCTTGTGGGTGCCCTGACTCAGTTTCCCTTGAACCACAGGCTGACTTGGGTCTCGCTCTTGGCCCCCTATGCCTGGTTTCAAAAGCCTCTCAGCACCAATAAGGTGACCGTGGTAGGGGAGTCATCTCTACATCCAGCAGTGCTGCTGGAGAGCAGTTCAGCCCAGGTCCTTATAGCCTGGGCCTCGCCTGGCCTTGCCCTTGACCTGACACTGACCTTAGGCTCCTTGAACAACCCATGGGCTTCCCTGTCCTGTCGTGTCACGTGAGCCGTCACTGTAGTCCCTGCCAGCTCCTCCCCCTCCAGGGGCATTGCAGCCTTGCACCACATTCCTGGCAGGGACTGACACTGGGACCATATTCCCTTACACAGCACTTTCTTCCTCTGCACCAGGACTTCCAGAGGGAAGCAGCTCGCCTGGTACCAGGGGAGCATTCCTGACTCAGCCAATGATCAGGAAAGACCTGCTAGGGCCAGGCTGGGTGGCCACTGCTCCACAGATGATTGCTGTTTTATTCCTCCTCACTCTAAGGTACAAGCACTGTTATGGCTTGTGTCTAGGTGTCTCCCCAAAGCCTCATGCAGTCATAGGTGGGGCTTTTTCAGAAGTGGCTGGATCTGAGTGTGTGACGGTGGAATTTGTTCATGATGCAGTGCTGGGCTCAAGGGCACTAGGATTAAGGGTGTGAGTGCTACCTGCTTTAAGTAGTCTAGATAAGATAAAAGGGGAAGAAAGACACTGTTAAGGTCCCTGTTGCTTCTGCTACCTTCCACCTGCCATGAACTGTTGCCCCTCTGCCATGTGCCACCCTGTCTTGGAGCCAGCTGATTATGCACTGAAACTTCTATAAACTATAAGCCAAACAAATCTTTCCTCCTTTAAATTTGGACGTTGGATATTTTGTCTCAGCAATGAGAAAAGTAACTAAGACAAGCGCAATGGCCAACCCCATTCTACAGACTGGCAAACTGAAGCACAGGAAAAAACAAGTGTGCCCAAGTTCCCACAATCAGGAAGTGGCAGAGCTGGGATTCAGATCCGGGTGATCTGGAAGCATAGTGTGTAAACCCTTACATGCACCCTCCTTCTTCCAGGCTGCTCTCCCACTCACGGTTTGAGGTCCTGGTCAATGAGTATGTCGTAGCCATATAGCTCGAAGCAGTGCTTGTCACTAATGATCACCTTCTGCACGCTCTGCAGGCTCTTGATGAAGATGTTGTCTATTTCGCTGAACAGTGCCTCCACTGCCTGGGGGCTATGCTTAGATGCTAGGTACTGCCGGAAACGCTGGAGCATCCACTTGCAGCCCTGGGCCAGCAGTCAGGTGGTGAGGGACCACAGGTAACAGAACCCATCTGCCAGGACCCTTGAGCCAACTCTCTAGCACAGCCGTTAGGCCTGAGACCCATGATCAGGGCAATCGGAGTGTAGCCTCCTTGTAAGCAAAGATTGTGTGCAGCTAACAGGACTGGCCACCTAGGACCCCAGGTGTCACTGTGCATGGGGCTCAAGTAAGCCCCTTCCCTAGGCCTCCCTCCCTGAGGAAAGACTACAGTGACCATGTGCCTCCCAAGACCAAGAGTGGCCACCAGGCTGCCATTCACATGCACAAGGCCATGTAAGAGACAGAGCCAGGAGCGGGGAAGGAAGGCAGCGAGTGTGAGCTGGGGTCGCTGTCCTGTGCCCCTGATCCGGCCCTTACCTCTGAAAAGTCTGAGAATTGTGTATTTGAATTTGGCCTTGAAGGTTTGTATGCAGATTAGATAGCTCACAGATAAAATAGATGATAAATACATGATAGCTAGATGATAGATGATAGATAGATAATAAGATAGATAGATAGATAGATAACAGATGATAGATAGATAGATAGATAGATAATAGATGAATAGATAAGATAGCATATCTGTGTGATACACCAGTTGATGGACTGAGCAATAGGAGATATTGTCCAGGTGGACGGATGGAACCCTTTTTGTTTGGGGTGCATTATTTTGACTGTAACTTTCAAATATTTAGACACAGGATCTGTGGACCATCTTGTACCCTTGGCTTGAGCCACACAAATGGGAAGCGTGGCCCTGCCCTCCCAGTGAACTGTGTCCTGTCCGACCACCCTGCAAGGCTGTCCTTCTGGAGGGGGAAGCCCCGCCTCCTCACCTTCTTTGGGTGGTAGTCAGGAGACGTCTTCTGCACAGCGACGTTGGTAAGGTGAACATCTGACAGAGGTTGGTAGTCAAGGCCAGTGTGGACAAGAAGAGGGAGCCCTCCTCCACCACTGCCCCTGGGGATGGCACTGCGACTCTTGCCTGGGAATGACATGAAAGCTGCAAAACAGCTCAAAGTTCCCACATGGGGTCTTGGAGTCAGTCAGGTCTAGGCTCGCATCTGCCTGCATCTGAGTGGCTGTGAGCCGCTGAGCAAACTGCTTAACCTCTCTGAGCCTGTTCTTCTACCTCGTAAATGGGGGAACACAACAGTGCTTTGGCTTCACAGGATTATTTGAAGAATCAAATACTGTATGAAAGTGACACTTACAGTGCCTGGCATAGCTGATGTTATATTATGGTATTTCAACTCAAGCAAAGAAAAAACTTTCTAGCCAAATATGCAATAGCTGCCTCAGGACACGCTGAGTGCCTCCTCGACGCAGGGGTTCGGACTGAGGAGCCATTCTATGGGAACCCTGGAGAAGGGGGTCCAGCATGGGTGGAGGGCTGGGGTGACCTTACAAGACCCTGAGAGTCTGCCTTTTGGCACTGTCACTGTCATCACTCTCCAGTTATACCAGCAACAATTTGCAGCTCCCAGACAACAGTCATACACATCATCGCATGTGTTCCCCAAATAATTCCCACCTCACAGGTGAAAAGCTGAAGGTGACAGAAGGCATTGACAGCCATGCAGACTCCCCTGCAGGACTGGGCAGAATGGATCCAAAACCTCCTGAAATGGCCATAAGACATAACTTTCTCCAGGACTTATCATTTCTCAGCCAAGACAGTGGAGGCCTTACATCACTGGCTCAAGTCCAGTTTCTCCTTGTTTGTGGCATACTGGACACAGCAGGGTAGTGTCAGCCTCTCAGAGAAGGTAGGTGTCCTCTTTAAGCATCTTTTTCCTAGAATGTCATCTTTAGAGATTTTCAAAGACTTTTATTTTCTCTCACATTTGTCTGAGAGGTTTTCTGCCCTAATTTCAAAAGAATAAGCATGTGACCAATCACTAAATAGGAAGGGAGCCCTTACATTTATGATCAGTTGATTTTCTAAAAGACAATTTAAGCTCGGAGTGGTGGCACACTCTTGTAATCCCAGCACTTGGGAGGCTGAGGCAGGAGGATTGACTTGAGTTCAGAGGGCTCAAGTGAGTTGGGCTACATAGTGAGTTCAAGGCCAGCCTGAACTGCATAGCAAGACCCTGTCTCAAAAAATAAAAAAATAAATAAATACTATTACTAAAAGGCAATTCAGGGGCAGAGGAAGGAGTCTTCCACCAATGGGATAGGGATGCCTGGATATCCAGGTGTGGAAGAATAAAATGGGAGCCCTTTCTCACACCATAGACAAAACCCTCCTGCAAATAGACCACAGATGTACACAAAGAGGAAAACTAAAAATCCGTAGAGGAATATATAGGAATAAGTCCTTGTGACCTTGGGCTAGGCAGAGTTCCTTTCTTTCCCCAAAAGCACAGTAACAAGAGAAAAAAACATTGGACTTTAGTAAAATTTTAAAATTTTGTGTTTTAAAAGACATTATCAAGAAGGTGAAAAGATAGCTCATAGAATGGGAGAAAGTATCTACAAATCAATGATCTGAAACAGAACTGTATTCAGAATATACAAGGAATTCTTATACCTCAACAATAAAAAGACAAATAATTCTATTAAAAATGAGTGTAGGATTTGAAGTCAACAAGCATACAAAAAGGTTTTGGCACTATGGAGGGATATGCAAAGCAAAACTACTTCGCATCCACTAGAATTGCTGAAATAAAAAGGGTAGATAATAACAGGTGTTGGTGAGGATGTAGAGAAATTAGAACCCTCACAAAATGCTAGCAGAAATGTAAACTTGTGCAGCACGTTGGAAAAAGTTTAGCGTGTCCTCAAAAGGTAAGCATAGCATTACCTGTGACCAGCAATTCCACTCCTCGGTGTATGCCTGGGATAAATGAAAACGCATGTCCACACAAAAATGTGTACACAAAATTTTCAAAACCCTATTTCATAATAGAAAAAAAGTAGAAACAACTCCAGTGTCCATCAATAGATAAATAAATCATATGCCCCTTCATTAGATGCGACCCTTCCACACCATGGGATGCTATTTGGCAGTTACGAGGTAGGAAGCACTGATCCGCATGCTGCGGCTCGGAGGAAGCTTACATCCTCCCAAGTGAAAGAAGCCAGGCACAAAAGACCACATACTGCATGGTTCCATTTCCATGAATGTCCAACCCTGGCAAACATATAAAGGCAGAAAGTAGTTGCTAAGCTGGGAGGGGGCCTGGGGGCTCTGGCGAGTGACACCAAACAGGTGTGGGATTTCCTTGAGGTTGATGGAAATGCTCTAAACTCTCGATAGCTGTGTAATATGATACAAGTTATTTTGTCTCGCACTTTAACGGTGAATTTCTGGTACATGAACTGCATCTCAAAGCTCAACACAAATCTCAATATGGAGCAAGAAGGAAGCTTTTCTTTTCTGTACGTTCTTGAGTTCCCTGATTTGTGTTTAATGTCCTGTACTGCTTTTATGATGATGATATTATATAAAGAGATCATATATAAAGCTCAATTATATCCCAGTAAAGCTGTCATTTAAAACAGTAGGAAGAGCAGGTGCTCAGGTGAGTGAGGCACAGGTTCCACTGGGGAAATCATTCCCTCATGGTCAGAGCAGCGGGGCCCAGCACTGCCCGCTCCTCCCTGCCGGGCCTCCTGGGGGCTTTGAGAGGAGAAGGTGGCTGGAGAGCCAGCCTCAGAGCCTCCCCTCTCCACACAGACCCAGGATCCAGCCATCATGGGCCAATGAGTTGAGTAACAAAGAGGAAACAATCGAAATGGATCTGGAGAGAAGTGAAACTGACCAGAGGGGAAATCGCTAGGGGAAAAGGAATTCTGAGCTTAGACATGACATTAGACAGGGCGGAGGAGCTCTACAGACCACTATGGAGCCAACTATGTAAAAAGTAAAAAGCATCCGGACAAAAAGTAAAGGCAAACATGACCAGAGAAAAGATGCAAATGTGACAGTGTAATAGTTTTGTCATGTAAAGCTCACAATAGTTGCTAGCAATAAAAATGTCATCACTCTAATAAATAAGCTGTGGAGCCCAAATGAAATGTAACCGGGGAGACCGTCTGGGGGAAGGCTCAGTGCTGCTGGGGACAGAGGAGACACGATTTAAAAGGCAGGTAGTGGGGGAGGGATGCAAATTGGAAGACACACAAATTCTAAGGTGAAACCCTGCTTCCTCAGCATGTGAGCTGCATCTTTTTCATTTTGAAAAATTTAGAACTCAGAATAATTGCAAGATTGTGCTTCACCTAGATGTGCCCATTGTCTTAGAAATGGCTGTTTAAGATGACTGTCCCCAGCACTGGGTACATTTCACTGAAATGAAATGGGTATGTTAATGAGGGAGGGGTAAAAATATAAAGAACTCTTCTGGAGAGCACTGGCCAGATACCCTTCACTCAGTTCCCTTCCTCCGTGACACACCCATGGGGAAAATCTTAAATACAGTGAAGAGTTTTCCAGAAAAGCTGTCCCTTTGCACCCCTGAATGTCACAGCAGCAAAAAATGGAACACTTCCCAGTGCCTGCCACACAGGGGGCTCCCAAGCCATAAATCCACTCCATGGAATATTTTATACCTTAAAAAAAAATGTCTACAAGGAAAATACGGAAGTTGACGTTTATTGGAAGAAAAGGTTATATATTTCTACTGATGGGTCAGGTCACCCATGTGTAAAAATTAATGGACAACATAAAAAGCTCTACAAACAAGCCCAGAAAGAACTACACAAAAATGGTGAGCAGCTACCTCTAGAGATGTGCCTCGAGAAAGGAGGTTCTTTTCTTTTTGTACTTTCCTGAGTTTCCTGATTTGCATTTCATGTGCCACATAACTTTATGATGAAAACAATATCCTCTATGCTTTATTTTTGTTACTAGAGGAGAGCATATCAGTTAGAGAAAAAGTTCATAATGTAAAGTTGAAAAGAATCATTTGCTGACCTGATTCTAATCCTCTGCAACTTTCAGATTCCTAAATGATGCTTGTACTTTTTCCTAAACAGAAACATACCTTTAAAAACCGCAAAACAGGGTAATAAAACAATGTGCACCTTGCTGGGGTTTTTTTACACTTAAAAGTGTCCACTGCTTTTCCACTTCAACCCTCTCATTGTTCTTAACAGGTCCATGCATCATGTAGGTGCTCTGTAATCCACTCCACCCTCCCTCAAGCATGACTGGAGCTGTTGCGACCCGTTCACCATGATGTACAGGGCTTCTGCTGGTATCTTTTTGTATTTTGTGTTATGCATATATGTATGTATTCATATACATTTGATTACTTTGGGCAAATTATATATAATAAATAATAAAGTCAGGTACATGTATATTTGATTATTTTGTGTTCTCAAAATTACATTATTATTTGAGAAGTTGTAACATCTGAAGCAAATATGGCAAAATATTATTCTCTGATAACTATGGACAGTAGATACACTGGGCTGTGTTTATAATCTTTTCTGAAGTTTTCTATATATTTTTGTTTGGTTTTGTTTTTGTTGTTTTGAGTTTTCTATATATTTTATAAATACTGCTTGCTAACCAGTTGCACCACTGGAGCTTCGGAGTGTTCTATATATTTTAATACTGAAAAATTAAACACAATTTAAATGAAGATGTGGTAATGATATGTATTCACTCGCTGTGAATATTGAATGAGCAAAGCCTCATTAAATAGAAACAGGCCCTGGGAAAGGGTTGGGCTGTTTAACGCGCCCCCACAGTGGCCAGAGATGCGCAGACACTTGTAAGGGAGAGAGGGAGGACACCCACATTTACTGGGGGTCACTCTGCTGGGCACTGTTCAATCCTTTTTACATATTTAATTTTAATCAAAAAACAAGGCAATAAAATAGAACTAAATTAAACTTGATGACTTGCATTGATAAATCCTTAGAATTACAAAGTAAAATAAATATGTTGGAAATGAAATTAGTGAAGTTGAAAGAAATAAACTGTAAAATGTACTCAGAGACGAGCATGGTGCTGTACACCTGTCATCCTGGTGTTCTGGGAGGCTGAGGCAGGAGAATTGCCAAGTTCCAGCACAGTCTGGACAACTTAGTGAGTTAGCAAGATCCTGTCTCAAAATAAAAAATAAAAAGAGCTGGAGATGTAACTCAGTGCAAAAGTCCTGAGTTCAATGCCAAGTACCCTCCTGCAACCAAAATAAAAAGTACTCAGAAAAGCCTAGTGTTTTCTTCCATGCAGGTAGAGCAAATCGATACCTGGGACGCTCACTTGAACTAGACCATGAAATGAAGGCAGAGACGTGAGCTGGCTAAAAACATCAGCTGGTTCCCAGACAGAAGCCTGGCAGCCCCCCTCCCCCTCTTTTCCTGGGACCATGATCTCCCAGGACAGGTAATCCAGACCTGCCGGCCTAGCTCCCAAGCATTTTATTCTGAAGCTCAGACCTCAAAATCTTAAAACCTTTTTCTTTTGATATGTATAATTTGTAGATAATACACTCATATGGGTCAAAAGTACAAAAATGTACGTGTAAGGAAACGTCTGTCCACCCCTGTCCACTCATTCATTCCCCTCCCAGACACAACTTCTGTCTCTGGTTTTCTCTTTCTTTTCTTGTGGTCCTGGGGTTGAAGCAGGGCCTGGCACATGCTAAGCCAGCGCTCCACTACTGCGCTGCGCTCCCAGCCCTGTTTCCAGGTTCCTGTCCAACCTTCAGAGAGCTCTAGACACAGATGAGCAAACACACATAGACATGTGACTTCTAACATGAATGGAAGCATACTTTTCTCTGCTCTATACTCTGCTTTTTTCCAATTAACTTTTCTATTCCATTTGAGTAGCTGCATAGTATTCTACTGTACAAATGCACTTCTCATCTCCCTATTTTCTACTTTCCTTCCTCTCACAAAAAGGGTTAAACAGTGAACAACCTTTGGGCTTGTCTTTTCCCGTGTTGTGGGGATACCTGTAGGATAACAGAGGAGGAACTGTCAGAGCAGAGGGTATGTGCAAAGCTTGGCTTTGGATAGATATTTTCCAGATTGCCTGCTAAGGGCATGGATCAACTTACACTCCCACCAGCAGTACATGGATGCCAAGGCAGCGAGTTAGCAAAGCCGTGATCTCTGCCATGTGGGTGAGCGAAAGTGGAGTTGTATTTGAATGGATGTGTGCGCCAGTGACTGGGCACTGAAAAGAAAGAGGCATAAAAGGAAGCGAACATTCTCCCCAGGGCCAAGCCTGTCTGCTCCTCTGCACCCATGATGTGAATGTCCATGCCACCCAAGCCATCACCCAGCAGAGCAGCTTGGGGCCAGCAGCTCTGAGCAGAGCTGTGCTACCCTCCTCTGCCACCCCAAGACTGGCTGTGTCCAGAGGGAAAGGACTGGGGTGGTTGCATCCTGTGCTCAGACCCCTACAAGGGCCCAGCTGACAGCCAGGCTGAGGCAGCTCCCCCAGGACTGGTGGAGACCGGACCGGGCGGTGTCACGGCCGCAGAGCCCAGGATACACTGGTCATCGATGCTGGTCAGCGTGAAGCGGGTGTTGGAGAATCGGGCGAAGCCGTCCCTGTAGAGCCAGGCGCGCAGCGGGAGGTACTGAGGTGGATGGAGGTGGGAACAGAGGGGGGAGAGAGGGGGGACACACAGGACATCGTGCCTCCTGGCTTCTGCACCTGCTTTCCTGTCCACCTGGAATGCTCTGCTTTCTTTCCAGGTCATCCTTCCAGGATCCATTCTCACACCTGTCTTTTCTTTCTCTTTCTTTTTTTCTTTCTTTCTTTTTTTTTTTTTTTCCAGTATTAGGGATTGAACCCAGGGCCTTCTCACTGAGCTGCATCCCATCCCCAGATATTTTGGTGGTTTTATGTTGAGACAGGATCTGCCTAAGTTGTTAAGTTGCTCTGGCTGGGCTCAAACTTACAATCCTCCTGCCTCAGCCTCCCAAGAGTGCTGGAATTATAGATATGCACCTCCACACCCAACTTAACCTCTGTCTTTGACTTCGTCCCTTCCTTCTCTGGGGGAAGATTCAGAAGGGCAAAGGGAACGGCCTTCTGGGCTCCACCACCCTGCATGACACACTGGCAAATGTGAGTCCCAGCGGTGGCGGCTGAGCCTGTCTCAGACACCCCAGTGTCCTCGTGCCCACCACAGAGTCACGCACTATGGAGAGTTAAATATTTGCTGGATGAATGAATGAATGAATGAATGAATGAATGGATGAACGAATGAATGAGTGGGTGAATCGAGGGAGAACTCTCGGGACAGGCTGTCTGGATTTAAATCCCAGTTTTGCCCACCATGTGACCTTGGGCAAGTTACTCAGTCTGTCTGAGTCTGTTCCCACCTATAAAATGAGACAGCACTCAGAGCCCCCTCCCTAGGTGGGTAGAGGGGCTGGGTGACAGCCAGCCTGCTAAATAGACAGTCTGGTGTTCACAGTGGTTGCCGTGGATGACTGAATGAAGAAAGAGGGGTGGGGAGGACAGAGTGAGGTGCTGCCCATCCAGGATTGTGAGATTTAGGCGCGTCTGCCTGCCCCAGCCCAGGCCCTGTGTCTCCTGGGCTTCCCCAGGCAGAGAGAGAACTCCCAAAATCACACAAGCTCTCCCGAACAGCCCCTCCCCACCTCCTGCAGCAGGAGGGCCCCGGCCTCAGTGACTCACCGACATCACCAGCACGTAGACTCGCAGGTCAAACTTGCGGCCTGTTAGGCAAAAAAGGGATTAATTTGTGTAACGAATATTGCCTGCATGTCAGACGGCATGCTAGATGAGGGATACAGCAGTGGATGGATACAAATCCCTTTTACAGAGCTCCCTCTCTCTCTCTCTCTCTCTCTCTCTCTCTCTCTCTCTCACACACACACACACACACACACACACACCATGATACAAGAAGATAATAGGGCGAGGGGTATCAAACCTGGTGACATATGACAGGAGAAGGTACCTCCCTAGCCCAGCATGGCACAGGGCCCTCAGGCAGGACGGAGGCCCAGAGGGCACCACCAGCCCAGGCCACGGGAGCTGGGGAGGCAGGAGAGCAAGGGTGGCAGCGACAGACTGTGTGCAGTCTTTGAAGTTCATTCGATAAACTGCGGGAAGCCGCTACAGGGTGTGCGATGCTCTGGTCTCTGTGTAGAACAAAGGGGACCAGGGCGGTGGGGTGCAGGGCAGGGAACCGTGGCCGAGATCAGGTGGAGGCCAGGGAGTCGCAGACAGCTTCAGGAGCCGCAAAGATGGATGTGGGAGCGGAAGAACTGGCTGCGCAGGACCAGCCCCCATCCTGGGGCTGGGAACCGATGGAGAAGCTGAGAACAAGGGGGCTGCTGGGACAGCTTGGGGTTCGGCCTGGCCGGGGCTCGGGCTGAGCTGCCAGCAGACTGCCAAGAGATCTGAGGCCCAGGGGCGAGGTCTCAGCTGGGGGCATAAAGCTGGAGTCACTGGTGTTTAAAGCCACAGATAGGAGCCGGGGATATAACTCAGTGGCACAAGCGCCTGCCTGGTAAGCGCAAGGTCCTGAGTTCAATTCCTGGTACCAAAAAAACCCCCAAAAAACAAAAAAACAAAAGCCACAGATAGGATGGGAACTGCCCCCAGGGAAGCTCGTTGTCTGGTGACAGGGAGCCAAGTGGCACTGACACAGGGCCACGCTGTGCCGAAGACAGCCCCCACCACCTGCCCCAGCTGGGTCCGCAGACCCTGCATGGGGACACACAGGGCTTCGGGACTCAGGTCCCGCTGGGCCTTGTCCCTCCCACCTCTCCCTCCAGTCCACCCAGGTGTCAATCAGGTCGCCTGATCCCCGTGTCCTCTGGCTCGGTGCCGTCCGCTCCTCCGGGTGCAGGTGCTGTGAGAGCAGTGGGCAGCAGGCCCAGGCCACGGCTGGCACAGAGGAGGTGCTTTATACCTGTCTGTGGCGTGATGTGTGAGTGATTAACTTGGTTCTCCAAGAAGGGGAAGATTTGTGAATCAAGAAGGCTGCGTGCCAGCCCGAGGGAACTGCGTGGGCAGTGGCGAGGAGGTGGGAGAGGCAGGGCAGATCGCTGCCCGTGATTCCTTTCACTGTCAGAGCCCGTTGCTGACAGACTGCTTGGCGGACTGGTCAGAGGGCCGGGAGCCAAGATAGGCATCTCACCTCCAATTAAGTAGGGGTTCTCGATGTAGCGCTGGGCTACGTAGTTCTCCACAGGCAGCTCATCTTTTTGGTCATCAGAACTTCTTGTGTCCTACTTGTGATAACGCTCATTATTAACAGTCAGGGAGCATTTCCGTGTGCCAGGCATTGTCTTAGGGGCAGTGCTCGGGGTATCTTATTTAACCCTTAAATCTTCCCACTCAGGCAAGTATTAATGTGATTCTCACTTTTACAGATGAGAAACTAAAGCACAGAGAGGAGGAATGACTTGCCCAAGGTCACGCAGCTGGCCAGTGGTACAACTTGGGTAAAGACTCACAGGCTTTGGGCCCAGTGCCTGAGCAATTGATCTCTAGACCTGTGCTGCCTGGTAGGGCAGTCACTGGCTACATGTGGTTATTTACATTTAAATTGATCAAAAGCAAATGAAATCACATGCTACAGTTGGGTGAAACCAGAAGACACGATTCTAAGTGAAAAAAGACACAAAAGGCAAATATTGTATGATTCCACTTATAGGGGAAGTCAAATCCACGCAGGCAGAAAGCATATGATGTTAGGGGGGCAGGGGACAATGGGACGCTCATGTTTAATGGGTGCAGAGTTTTGGTTTGGGTTGACAAAGAAAGGTTCTGCAGACACATGGTAACAACGCAGACACACATGGTGCCATGGACGGTCCACTGGAGAAGGGTGAAGTATAAAGATTATGCTATATACAGCTTAGCACAATTTTTAGAGACGAAGTGAAATTTAAAATTCAGTCCCTCAGCAGCCACGTCAAGTGCTCTGTGTCGCTGTGGCTGTTGGTCACCCTATCGGAGAGCATGGATGGACACCGCGTCCTTTGCCATGAAGGGTTGTCTTGGACAGTGCTGCCCGGCCCACCTGACAAGCTCCCCCCCGCCCCCCGGAAGACACTTGCTGTCAGGAGCTCAGCACTTCCAGCCTGCAAAGCCCTCTCTAACCACTGTCTCCTTCTAGCTAGCTTGTGAGGGACCGAGGTCCAACACAAGGTCCACTCCCTTGCTGGGCCAGCACAAGGGCCCAGTGGAGAGGACACCAGCACCCAGACCTCCTGGCTGTCAGGCCAGACCCCACCCCCACCAGCCACCACCCCTACTTGGCAGCCAGGCCTTTGCTTCCTGCAACCTGGGCCACCCCACCTTTACTCACGTGGGTGCCGGAGGGATTGACAGTGGCAGTAGGGGCTCGGGCAGGCTGGGCCTCCAGGCTGGCGAACTTCTTGCCGGCGGTGCCCTGACAGTGGCATGGGAGGAAATGAGATGCTTGGAGTTGGTGGCGGGGGAGATGCATTTATGGAGCACCTACTGCAAGCTTGTAGGAGCTGGGTCATCCCGTGCCTCCTGCACCTGGGCACTGCTAAGGTCCAGAGGGATGCACCTAATTCCCCAAGAACACACAGCCTCTGAATGGCAGAGGCAGGATCTGAATGGTTTCCACTGCACATGTCTGGGCCTGAGGATGTGGTAGGGGCAGGTAGGGAGCTGCCCGGGGCTCAGCCTGGGACCCAGAGGAGGAACCAGCTCTCCTCTGCCTCTCCCTGGCCCAAGAGCAGGAGGCAGATAAAGCACTTGGGGTGCTGAGCACTGCTAAGTGCCAGGCACCGTTCCGGTGGCCGTTGTGATTAACTCTGCATCCTCAGCAGCCACTGTTATTATCTCTACTTCCTGGGACACCAGGGGTCCAGTAACCTGCCCAAGGTCACACAGCTATTGAGTGGCAAGGTCAGGATTTGAATCCAGGCAATCTGGCTGCAGAGAGCCCCACTGTGGGGAGGAAGGAGGAGTCCTTTCCCTGACCAGGGCACAGGCTCAGGGAGGGTGGGAGAGACAGGCTCACCTTCCTCCAGTCCATGATGTCCTTCAGTCTCCGGAAGAGGAAGATGCCCTTGCCCTGAGACCGTGCGACCTGGGACGGGTGGACAAGGAAGGCAGCTCTTACTTGGGGGCTGCTGGGGCCCCCTGTGCCCCGGCTCCTCTCCCACACCTCTCCATGCCCCCTACTATGCTGTAGGAGATGAACAGGGCTGGGGGTGAGAGCCTGGCTTAGCTCACAAAGACATACATTTGCATGAATAATGCAAAAGAACAGACAATTAAAAAACCATTTCTAACAGGCCTGAGAACATATCATCCAATTCTTTTTTTGGAAATCAATTTGCCTTCCTAATTAGGTTTTGCTTCGGCTAATACTGAAATCAGTCTGCGTTTACCGAACCCCGGCATGGATAATTCATAGCTCACAGAGGCTGGGGGCTGGGAGAATCTTCAGGATCTTGCAGAGTGGTCCTCATGGAAGAGGTTAGTTACTTCCTCCTGTAAGAGCCTGCAGCAGCCCTTCTACAGTACTCACCTGCCTGGCCTTGCACACCTCCAGTGCCCCAGGACCTCACTCTCTGTCCTGGCCCAAATCAGCCCTTTTGGTTGTAGGATAGCTTCGTTAAACAGTCTTCAGAAAGGTATATACTAGCTGCCTACTGTGTGCTGGGTGATAGACTATCACCATAACTCAGACCTCATGGAACTTCCATAGCTTAACCTGTCCTGAGCTAAAGTTTGCCAGTCTGGTCTGGCTTCTAGGGATTTCTAGGAAAAAATCTGATTCTGGGGCACCAGAATTGCCCTTTGGTTATCTGCAGCCATCAATAGGTCCCTCGAAGTCACCTTTTCTCCAGCATGAATGCACCCAGCAAGAGCAAGCTCTCATTTCTCTCTGTTCCCCTGGCACATGGCCCACCTGAGGGTCTCTGTACGATGCAGGGCAGTTAGAGCTGGCAGGTGCAGCTGCACAGGTTGCCCACTGCTCATGCTGAGGGCTCCTGCTTTGCCCGCCACATTGTGCACCCTGGACCAGAGCTGTGTGTGCCCAGAAGGTGTGCAAAAGACTGAGGCTTGACAGTAGCACAGGGCAGCCAAATGTGTACACTGACTCTGAAAGCAACGTGTTAGTGGACATCAAGGACTTCCAGCAGGTCCCAGCCTTGCAGAAGGCTTGAGCAGAGACACTGCTGTAAACAGGTCCTCAGCTTCATGAGTCACCAGGGAGATGAAGAGAAAATCACAAGAAGACACTAAAACACTCTCCTTGAGAACTGCTACGGTTACAGACAATAGCAAGCATTGGTGAGGGCAGGGAGAAACTGGAACTCACACATGAGGGCAGAGTGCACACTGTCCAGAGGTGCTGGGCAGAGAAAGCCCTAATGCTCTGCCCCCAGGCTCCTCTCCCAGGTACCTTGCAATGGAAACGTGCACATGTGCAACACGGGGACATGGACAGGGACATCTGTGACAGCACAGTTCATTCATAATAGCGTCCACCTCGGAAGTCCCGAGCAGATGAACATCTACTCAACTGCGCAGTGCATGAGCAATTTACATCAGCAAGATGAATCACACGCCTACAAGGTAGATAGGGAGAAACTAGGCGCTAGTGTAGGTCAGACTCTATGATTCCACTGGTTTCGAGTACACAAACAGATCTATGCCGTTAGTGGTAGACAGCAGATGTTGTGAGTGGAAGGGGTCCAAGAAGGGCTGTGGGGGAGCTGCTAAAGTTTATGATTCCAGGGCTGGTTACTTGAATGTGTTTACTCTGTGAAAATTCATACCATACCCCCACAACTTGGGCATTTCAAAATAGTGTTTATGCACCTTATGAGTTTGAAATTGTGGCAGTGGTGGGTGAAGCCTGCTGTTAGGCCCTTTAACAGTTCGTGAAAAGTACACATTTTCCTCTAGCACAGAGGATTCTGTAACTGTATGCAGCAGGCCCAGAACACACTTCACACCTCACAGGCCTCCAGCTGCAGGACAGTGAGAGGCTGCTGAGCTCCAGCTGCTGCCTGCGAGGCTGCGCCCACGTCTGCACCTGCCCGACCTCCTGCAGCAGTTGCTCCCAACCCGGCCACGCCCCCCACAGCAGGACGCCTCCCCAGGCCGGACTCTCCTGAAGCTGTGCTGCAGAGAGGACTTCACTCCTCCTTCCCTCCTCTCTTCTTCATTCCTCCTTCCCCGCCACTGAGGTCCTAAGCTCCCCCAGCCTCTCCCTGCACCCTCCCTGATCTCTCACAGGTTGAATCTGGCCTTGGCATCTGTTTCTGAGACACCTGCACTAACACAGTGTGATACCTGCTTTTCAACAGCATTGCTTTGTTTTGTAAAAAATGTACTTTATGTTCAGCTTTTAAGACCACTATTTTATAAGGTACATACTTAGCTCTAAACTCATTAAGTTGTATACATGAGGGGCTGGGGATTTAGCTCAGCGGCAAAAGCGCCTGCCTGGCAAGCGCAAGGTCGTGAGTTCGGTTCCCGGTACCGGAGAAAAACAAAAAAAAAAAAAAAACAAATTAAGTTGTATACATGAAATATATGCAGCTTGTATGTGTAGTTTGACAAAGCTTTTTATTTTATTTAGGTACTAGAGATTGAGCCCAGGGCCTTTTCATTGAGCTACATCCCAGACCTCTTTATTTTTTATTTTTGAGACAGGCTATTGCTAAGTTGCCCAGGCTGGCCTTGAACTTAGGATTCTCCTGCCTCAGCCTCCTGAGCCATTAAGATTAAGAGGCATGCACTACTACATTAGGCTAATGAAGCAGTTTTAAATAAAACATTGTTTGGTGACAGGGTCCACACATGTCACCATACATATATGGCAGAGAGACAGGTCTGAAGCCCTGCTGTCTTCCTTAAGCCATTGTGTATGTGTGGTGGGGGGTTTCTATTCCTTACTGACCAAAGCACCCCAGCTCTCAGTGGTTTCTGTGGACAGGTTCAAGAAGCTCTGCTTGGAGTACACTAGTGTAACAGGAGGTTAAAATGTGGCTCATCCTGCTGGCACTTTGGAGGAAGCCCACAGCAAGTGTGGATGGATGCTGTGTGTGTGTGTGTGTGTGTGTGTGTGTGTGTATGAGAGAGAGAGAGAGAGAGAGAGAGAGAGAGACCGGGGTCTGAACCTAGGGCAGGTGCTCTACCACTGAGCTCCAGCTCCAGCCCCTAAACTAGACTCTAGGGGCCAAACCCAAGGTTCTTCTCTTCTTTTTTCTCTCTTCCCCTCTCCTCCCTCCCATCTCAGCCCCCCATCTCCAGATCCCCTCCCCATCTCTACCTAGTCTATTTCTTTATTTCATATTATCTTTTATTTTGGTCTCTAGATTATTAATGGGCTGGGGGTTTAGCTCAGCGGTGCAGTGCCTTCCTGGCAAGTACAAGGTCCTGAGTTCAGTTTCCAGTACCAAAAAAAAAGAAGGAAAAAAAAAGTTGGATTCTAGATTATTTATACTTTATAGTCCTTTGAGGAGTATCTGGCAAACATTTTTCCCAGTCTCAGTTTCTCAGATAAGAGAAGTTTCTCATATAAGAAGAAGTTTAACCTTCTGTGTCTGATTTATTTCATTTAGTATTATGGTCTCAAGGTGCAACTATTTTCCTACAAGTGCCTCAAATTTATCCTTCTTTATGGCTGAGTAGTACTTCAAATAGATATCACTTTTATCTATCCATTCTTCTGTTGATGGGCATATATAGGTTGCTTCCAAGATTTAGGTATTTTAAGTTATGTTGCTATAAACATGGGTACACATGTATCACTGTAATATGATGTCTTTAAATTTTTCAGGAAGATAGCCAGAAGAGGTCTAGCTGGATCTAATGGAATTTCTATTTTTAGTTTTCTGAGGAATCACCATACTGATTTCCCTAGTGCTTGTGCTAATTTACCTTCCAATCAACAAGGAGAAGTGTGCCCGCCCCCACCTCCTCACCAGCATTTGTTGTTGAGTTCTCCATGATGGCCATTCTTTCAGCAGTAAGATGCTATCTCAGTGTTGTTTTGATTTGCATTTCTCTAATGGTCAAAGATGCCAAGCACTCTTTTTCTTGTATCCATTGTCCACTGGTAATTCTTCTTTTGAGAAGTGTCTATTCATTTCAATTGCCCATTTTTTAATTGGGTGTTTTCTTTTTTTTTTTTTTTTTTTTTTTTTTTGTACTAGGGACCTCGTGCTTGCCAGGCAGGTACTGTGCCACTGAGCTAAATCCCTTGATTGGGTGTTTTATTTTTAGGGTTCTAATTTGTTTCAGTTCTTTATATATTCTAGATATTAGTTCTCTGAGTAGTACCTGGCAAACATTTTTCCCAATCTGTAGACTGTCTTTTCACTCTGTTGGCTGCTTCTTTTGCTGTACAAAAGCTTTTAAATTTGATATACTAACATTTATTGGTGTTGTTTCTTCTGCAACTTGAATTTGCTTTGGAAGTGTTCTGTAGATGTGACTGACACCAACAATCACAGACTTTGGGTAGAGGGTGTCGCCCTCAGTAATGTGAGTGGGACTTGTCCAGCCAGTTCAGGGCTTAAGAGTAAAACCTGAAGTTCCTAGAAAGGAAGCAATTCAATTGGACCTCACGGCACACCCTTGTAATCTCAGCACTCTGGGAGGTGGAGGCAGAAGGAGGATTGTAAATTTGAGTGAAGGCTATGATTTATTGAGACCGTCTCAAAATAAAAAATAAAAAAAGTGCTGAAGATATAGCTCAGTGCGAAGACCCTGGATTTAATCCCCAGTACTGTAAAAAAGAAAGGAAGAAGAAGAGCAAGAGGAGAACAAGGATGAGGATGAGGAGGAAGAGGAGGAAGAGGAGGAAGAGGAGGAAGAGGAGGAAGAGGAGAAAGAGGAGGAAGAAGAGGAAGAGGAGGAAGAGGAGGAAGAGAAATCTGCCCTGGGGCTGTGACACAGAAATCGCTCCTGAGTTTCCAGCCCTCTGGCCTGCCTTGCGGAATTCTGACTTCTGGTCCCCACAATACTGCATGAGCTAAGTCCTTAAACACCCGCGCCCTGGGCTTGGGTTCCCCTGGAGAGCCCTGAAACTGGTCAGGAGAGCACATTCACAGGCCAGGAGAGCTGGCTGGGCCCAGGCTTGGGAACTGCTGCTTGCCAAGCTCCCCACTCCAAGCGTCGTCCATCTGGGGAACGGCAGCAACGGCATCTGGGGTGAGACTTAAAACTGCAGCCGCTCAGGCCAGCCCAGGGCTTCAGAGTTGGGCTCTGCCTTTGTCAGAGCCCCAGATGACATGTGACCACACTGAAGTTTGAGAAACACTGACCTCGCGCTTTTGGGGGCAGGTGGAAGAAGGGTTATTTCCTGGGCTCTTGGAAATAACATGGAAAAATAGTCAGTTACTGGGCACTTCATACCAAGCCCTGGACATAATGCGTACTGTCTGTGTATGTCACACACATCACTTCACTGCCTTCACTCACCACCCCTCAGCGGGTCCTATCAATCCCAGGATATAGATGAGGAAGAGACTTAGAGAGGCCCAGTAACCTGCTCAGGGTCTCACAGCTTATAAGTAGTGGATACAGAATGAGAACCAGGTCTATGCAGACTAGAAATATTGCTCTCCATACCCTGCACCCCAGACAGGGTGCCTCAGCCGTTCAGGGGTGAGGACACGCGCATGCGCGCACGCACACATACACACACACAGCCAAGACTCTGCCTCTTAATTACAGTTGTCGTGGTGTCTGCCGTTAACAAAGGCCCTGGGCTGGGAAAGGAATCAGCTTAATATGCAATTGCTCATTCGCAATTAGCACAGATGATCATTTGTCTGAGAGGATAATGCCAAGAGCTGGAATCCACCCCTCGGGTCACAGAGCTCATCCTAACCCCTGCTGCCAGCCAGAGACCTCACCGAGCCTGCCCACAGCATGGGAGGAGGGGGCCAGGGAAGGCCTGGAGGTCTGGGACTTCTTGGCTCAGTCCTGTGGAGGCATCTCTTGTGCTGCTTTCTCTGCACCCTCCAAGCACTGGGCTAAGTGCTAAATGGGCACCAACCACCACGGGGCTCCATATTCGGCTCCATAAGGAAGGGCTGCTCCTGGCCCACCTCAGCCCTTTCCTGAGCCTGGCACCTTCTCGGACCTAGAACCACAAGGGGCTTTGGTGATGCCCTTCGAGGCTGTAGTGGCACAGGCTTTGTAGTGAGGGCAACTCTGACACAGGAAGGCTTGAGCAACTCACAGGTGGTGAGTTGCTCAAGCAACCTTGCCTTTCTCCCTTTGGGGGCTGCCTCCAGGGCAAGGCCTCAGTGCATGCAGTTCCCTCTCCCTGGAGTGCTGCTCCTTGTCCAGCCTGGCCCCTAGGCACCCTTCAGGTCGAAGCTCACTACTAATTCTTATATTCATGACTATGATTTACTGAGTCCTTATTATGTGCACTACCTGTGCTAACTTGTTTGTTTAGTCACACAACACCACTCTGCAGTAGGAACCATAGTTATTCTCACTTTGTGGATGGGGAGCTGCAACACAGAGAGGTTGAGTCACCTGCCTGGGATCACACAGCTAGTAAGTGCCACAGCTTGTATGATCCAAATCTCTTACTTCTGAGAAGGCTGCGTAGGTGCGGAGACTCCTACTGCTATTCCCTCTCTTGACACTATTCTTCCTAATGACAGTCAGCAGAGCTGCGACCACACACATCCGGCTGGCTCACAGTCTGCACTCAGGGAGGGCAGAGACTGTGCGTGACTTGCCGGGAGCTGTAATCCCAGGCCTCGGTCCCTGCACCTGTGGGATATTTGAGTACATAGGCTCTTGGGTGTTTCATCTCTGAAATGGGGCTATGACTCCCACCCCCACGGACAGTCATGCGACAAAGCACTTGACACGGCCTGGTCACTGTTTCCTTGCATGTCAGGGAGAGAGGCTCTGGATTCCCTGCCCTAGCATCCTGACAATTGCTTGGCCTTCAGTTAATGCTTCCTGAGCACCCGCTGTGCCCAGCAGCCAGCCGCTGGGCCCGAACGCTGCAGAGAAGGGAGCGGAGAAGGTGCTCCAAAGCTGACCGTCCAGGCACAGGCGGTCGCTGAGCTGGGGCCCTGGACTCCACGGGATCCCTGCTATCCTCCTGCCCCAGGCCCTGAATGGTCACTCACAGGCTTCATGATCCAGGTGATCCCTGGGTGCTTGCGGAACTCCTCCACGAACAGGTGGTACTCGCAGGGCATCTCAAAGGTCTTGGGGAAGAAGTCGCACTTGGCCGCCTCCAGCTTTCCTGCCTCGCGCTCCAGCTGTCTCCGGAACCGCTTCAGGTTCTTCACCATGTAGTTCTTGCGGGTCAGCTAGGTGGCAGGGCAGGCGGTGGGCCTTCAGCTTCCTGCTCCCCCAGGACCCCAGTCCCACCAGTGTCCCCCCTACTCTGCAGCCCATTGAATATGGTAGCAGTAACGGAGCGCTGTCAGAGCACTGCAGTCTGTGATTATCCCCGGTTCACAAGCAGGAAGCAGTTCTGTCTGGCTCTTAAATTCCTAGTTTTAAGCACTTAGCTATTCTAACTTTTTAACGTCTCCCACTAACGACTCCTCCAGGCTGTCTTTGTGATCTGGCTCCTCCAAGACCTCCCTTCTGTTTAACCCCTAAACTTCTCTGCTTAATCCCCAAAATATCCCCCTCTTTTGAAGCTTGTACCCTCAAGCCAGACTACTCCTCCAAGCCTGTAACCTCAAATCTCCATCTTTAGGCCTCAGACCTTAGCTCCTCATACTCTCAAGCCATCTGGCTCATCAAGTATTTAGGCCACAGATGCCCCACCCAGCGTGTACCCTAACAGTCCCTCACACTTTTCCACCCTACCCTTGAGCCCCCATACCAGCTCCTGCTCATCACCACACCCAGTTACATGCATTCACAGGCCCGGCTTACCTCGTAGTGGTTCCGGAAGTGATTGATCCGCACGTGATCGTCCATGTAGGTGTGGTCGAAGTTCTCCCGGAGCCAGCTGACATCGCACCAGTAGAAATCCCACTCCCCTTCACTGGGGGAGAAAGGTCAGAGTAAGGTCTCCGTGCCCTGGGGGCCTGGGGCCAGGGAGGGCTGGGTGTGTCCCGCAGGAGACTCTCGGAAATGCTGTGGGTGCTGTTGCTGCAGGCAGCTGCCTCCCCTGACCCTCAGCAGATCTGGCCATACTAAGCCCTGAGTACCTCCTGGTACCTATCAGCAGACAGGACACGACCCCTCCAGAGCACCCCCCATGCCCTACGGCATGTGACACACCTGTCCTTTTTACCTGCCTGGGCCCAAGCTCCCACGCTGTCATCAACCCTGCAGCTTGCAGTACCACGAGCTAGAACTCGGTCACATCTGTATGCTCCCCCCAGCTCACAGAGCTTCCCTTCACCCATCCCCAGGGCACTGCTGAGAGGCGACGGCGGCCATCCCCACTGCTCCAGGGCACAGCAATTGCCGTCCTCACCAGGGACATGGTGCCACATCCAGCTCCGCCAGAGCCCCAATTCTTTTTTTAAAAATTTTAAAGAAAATAAACAATAAAAATAATGGTATGAAATTTCACAGCAAGATTGTAGGACAGTAACAATGGTTAGTACATTGTGTATTGTTATCTTCAAAGTAGTTGCTCATATTACAAGATATAGGCATGAAAAACTGACCAAGCAATATGGGCATAAACCTTTCCTTTCAATGAGCTAATAGTAATTAGTGGAATAACTATCTTAACTATCTTGTATATGTATGTATATTTTTCCTTTTCCTTTCCTTCTGTTCTCCTTTCCCCATTTCCAGTTTCTCTTTCTTTTTTGAGCATTTTCTTCCCATTTCACAATATCTATTGTACATTTTGGGTCTTATTTACTCTCTCAGCTTCTTACACCAGGGAGGCAATGTGATGTTTACACAGGGGAGACTGATTTATTTCACTTATGAGTATGGCAGAGTCCAAATTCTGATCCCAGGCCTCTGCTACCATGACAGGGAGAAGGACAGGGAAGTGAGTCATCTATCAAATCTGGGTACCAGAGCAGGGGTGCAGGAGCTGTGGATCTCCAGAAAGATGGAGCAGAAAATAAAACACCACCATGATTGCTTCCACTTTCAAAAAAAAAAATGTGGCTATAACTGAAGCCCACTGGATCTATCCCTGCCTGGTCTATCATCTTCTCTCATGCCTCAAAGAAAACCAGTAGCCTGATGTGTAGCTTTGTTATTATGCCCATTTTACAGAAGAGGAAGCACAGGCAGGCACAGAGAGGTTAGGGAGTTCACCCAAGTTCATCCAGTAATGAGTGGCAGACCAGGATCTTAACTTAGGCCAACAGGTTCCAGAATCCAAACTCCACAGTTAGAACTATGTCTATGTGTTTCTTTTCATGACTTCCTTTTTCCCACCAACCTCTTGTTTTAGAGATTTACCCATATGATGCATGAGTCCAACCTAGCTGCTTCTCCTTCTCCTTCTCCCTCTTCTTCTTCTTCTTTTCTTCTCCTTCTCCTTCTTCTCCTTCTTCTCTTCCTCCTCCTCCTTCTCCTTCTTCTCTTCCTCCTCCTCCTTCTCCTTCTTCTCTTCCTCCTCCTCCTTCTTCTCTTTCTTCTCTTCCTCCTCCTCCTCCTTCTCCTCCTCCTCCTCCTTTTCCTTTTGCAGTGCTGGGGGTCACACCCAGGGCCTCACTCGTGCTAAGCACATACTCTACCACTGAGCTACACCCTGAGCCCCTCCCACTTCAGCCATTTGTACTCCCATGCTCCTTCCATTGAGTGAATACCACAGTGTATTTACCCATTCTCTTATTAAGAGGTGTTCAAGTTGTCCCCTCCCCGTTTGTTTTTTCTTTAATGTACAATGGGTTGCACTTTGCAAAGTATCTTGGCAAGGCTTGAGGCAGAAATAGAATGCTGAGGAGGCAGCTACCTGAGGGTGACAATGACTCCAGTCTCCTCTCATCTAAGTGGGGACACTTAGTGCTGTGCTGTGGTAGACTGTACTTCTGGGAGATGCAGGCTGTGAGGACACAGGAGAAGCCCTCAGGACCTTCTTCATTTGACATGTAAGCAGGATCTCCCAGATGACTCCTTTCTGCTGTCCCTTGGGGCTGTGAGCAGAATTCCTGCCCCTTGGGGCTGTGAGCTCAACACCAGACTGCCCTAACACTAAGTCCTGAGGTTTGGTATGGAGCATGCATAGTAGGAACGGTGACTGTGAAGCTGCCTGTGCTCTGTAACTGGAGCTCCCTTTGAAGCTCTCCAGGAACTGAAGGTTCAAACTGTTTCTGCATTCCTTGCAGCCGCTGGAGGGCATCTCTCCTGAGCATCACCGCATGTGTGCGGGGCTTGAGGCAGGGGGACAGGTCCAGGCTGACCCTGGGCTCAAAGGTGGGAGCCGTGGCTCCATGAGGAATTCTCTGTCTCTTTCAGAGGGCACTGCGTGGCAACATCACTCAGCCTGGTTCCTGGTACCTCCCACAAAATTCAAAGCACCTTTCACACAGTTTAACAGCCATGTTCCTGCTTTAATGTTGACTGGGAGAAGAACATAAATAGCAAGACAAATCGCACGTGCAGACACAAACGCTCCTACAGACACTACCATAATGATATAGAAGTTCCTTCATCTAAGCAAACCCATCTCAGAATGATCCTTAGTAAATAGTGCACACTGCACTGAGGGTGACGCATATAGTGAAGGAATGACACTGAAGCCAGGAAGTCCCCGTGTCCCACTGTCTTCCTGAGTTATTAATGAAAACCTAGGGCCTAGCCCCCCTCCACACCTCCCCACGGGCTGTGCCACGGCATAGTGGGTGTGAGGAATGGCCTCAACAGCCAATGGGAACCTGCTGGAGAAGTGGCCAACAGGCTGGGGGCCCCATCCAGACTCCAGGCCCCTCCTCTCCCCAGCCTTATGTTGGCTCAGAGCCAGGGCAGGGCACACAGGGCAAGGAGCACAAGCCGCAGACAGGAGCCCTGATTCTGGTCCTGCTACAAGTAAAGACTCCTCACTCCTCTGTGACCTCGTCTTCTTCTCTGGGCCTCAGTTTCCCTACTGGAGAATCAAGAATGGAAACTTCTACTCAACACGGTAGATACCGATGAGCCAAACCAGCACTAAGTAAATACATAAATAAGAAGCAGGGGGAGAAAAGCTTTTAAAGGAGAAGGTCACCTAGTAAATGCAAAAGGAGGGAACGAGTTAGAACCACCATGCTGCACTAATATTACAACGGTAATAGATTTAGGTAAGAATCTTCAAAGAATGTTAACACCACTGTGTGAAAATTTACTGGGGCCAGGATATTGGCGCAGCGTCAAAGTACTGGCCCACAAGGCATTTATTAATTGCAATTTTTTTAAAAAGCTAATTTTCACTGAAAAACCTTAGAGACACCTCTGTAACTCAGTGATCGGGTGAGAACTCCAGTGGAAGGACACACTGGCGTCACGGGTCCTTCGATGTGCTGCCCCGGGGACTGCACAGTGTCGTTTCTGTGGTGTTTGTGTCAAAATGCAAGACTGTGACGAGAAAACATCAGACAAGTCCAAAGCCAGTGATGCCCTGCAAAACAGCTAAAGAGCACTCCAGGCACATGCGGGGCACGCAGGCAGGTGCAGGCTGAGGACTGCCACACATCTGAGATAATAAAGGCCAACTAAATGCCATGTGGGATCCTGGGTGGAATTCTGTAGCGGAGAAAGAACGTTTGCAGAAAAAAAATGGGGAAAAACTAAAGGATGTCTGCGGTTTACCGAATAGTATCAGTGTTAGTCTCCAGGCTTTGACAAATGTGTGACAGTCACACAAACTGCTGACAGAGGAAGCCACGTGAAGCTGGTAAAAGAAGGTGGCACATGTTACAGTGACTTCACATTCTGCCAACTTTGATATGAAGTCCTGATCCTCATCACCTCGGGTTCTCAAGATGGTTACTGCAGCTCCAGGCTTCACATAAGCTTTCTCAGTGGGAAGCTAGAGGAAGGATAGTTTGGTTATATTTGTTTTAGACTCTGACCTAACAGATGGAGAGTCTGTACAGAGACCTGATTCTGTTTGGAAACACCAGGCCCCAAGTTAGGTCCTAAAAAATGAGAGCGGTGCCTGGTGGAAAGGCCCTGGCCTGTTGGCCCTGTCTGGCCTGAGTACTGTTGAGGCAAGCTGGGATCAGCTATGGAGTGTGACTCCTGCACTGTCAGCAGTAGACTATCCTCGGACCACTGTCCTTGGGTGCACGCAACCATCGAGCAGAGGCTGAGAAAGGGGCAGAAAGGAGCCTGAGGTCACAGAGCAGGTGGAGACGGTGCCCTGGCCCATGAACCACCCCCACCCGCCAGCACTTCCATCCCCTCTAACTCACCCCCACCGAGCCACCCACCCACCCAAGTCATCTCTCATTACATTAGTTCCTCTGGCTCCAGGGAAGGAAACCCCATTCTGATACAGGCACAATCATTAGAGACCAATCCACACCAATCCATGGTAGCTCTCCTCATTATCACCACCACCACTGCTGTCACAGGCCCCCAGACCCACAAGGAGGACTGAGTTCTCGGGTTCCTCGGGCTGCAGCCTGCCAGGACAGCCTGGTGCTGGCTTCCTGTGGGATGGTCCATTGCAGCCTCTCTCCCCCACCAGACTGCAGCAGTAGGTTTCACAGCATGTGTTCACTTGTTCCTGTGCTCTCTGAGAAGCAGCTAGGGTGGGGTGGAGATGAGCCTGTGACTCCACATGCAGGAGACGAGGCTCAAATCCTAGCCAAACCCTTACAAACTAAGCACCCTCAAATACAATATTTTCATTACTTTGGCTCAGATTTCTCACTAGTAAAATGGAAATGATAGAGCACCTCCCTGGAATATTCGTTGAGATGATTAAAAGAAATCACACATGTGGAGTCTACCAAGTCCAGCAGCTGAGCTATCATTAGGCAACAAACACTTATTAAGCACCGTGGCTTGGTGGCTGCTGGTTGCTTACCCCTCAGATCCAGTTTTTGTTTTTCTATGACAATCATAGTCTCAACGTTCACCCAGGGAAATGCGGTGAACATACTATTTTCCAGATTTCCTGGCAACTGGGTGTAGCCACATAGCTAAATTCTGCCAACCAAGAGGCGAGGGACTTTTGGGCAGTGTCTCCTCAGGGAAGGTCACGTCTTTACATGCTCCTTCCTGTCTGCTGTTTGGAATGTGACACAGAGCTGGAGGCCCGTCTCACAATGAGGACAAGGGTTTGAGGGACAGCATTACAGAAAGATGGAATTAGGTCCCACATTTCTGTGGTGTCCCCTCACCAGCTCTGAACCTCCTGCTCATGGGCCTCCATGGTTTAGTCAGAGAAACTTCCAGCCTCCCCAACCTTTTCACTTTGAGTGTCCATTATATGCATCCAAGCCTTAGCCTTCACTAATACCAGCACCTACTATGTGCCAGGCACCATATGCTTCTTTGTCTCCATCAGAATCCACAGAGTCAAGCATGAAAGAAGAAATGCAGGCTTACAGGTCAAGTTCTGGGTTACAGACCGGTAAGTGGCCAAAGAAGAACACTCCTTGACTTGGGCCAAACCCTGGAGGGCATGGGGGCAGGTCTGAGAGCCCTAGGACACTTGCAGTAGTCAACCTGAGTGGGCTTCATGACACTTAGGGCCAGGTAACCTTAAGTAATTGGCTTAGTACCTCTGCACATTATCAGAGCTTACTGGATGTTTGTAAGGCAGAGATGGTGTCAGTAACGCACCAAACACATTGTGGATACTAAGTTGTCAGAGCCACTTTAGGGCAAGTCCCAGTGGCCACCCAGGGAAGCCCCAAAGGGAGACAAGGATCTGGGAGAAAAAGCGGAGAGGGTCAACGTTGGAGGGGCTGGGATCTTACTCTTTCACTTCCACCCATCCTGGCCTGTTGCGGAGGACATCTGTGAGAGTGTTCATGAGAGTGGTCTTGAACCGAATTGATGCTCTCTGCTCTCTGCAAGGCAAGGTAACAAAACACTTGCTCAGGCTCAATGACCTCCCTAGGATGACACAGGGATAGGAAGAAAGGGAAGGAAGGAAGGTCAGGTTCACACTTGGAAATGCCAGAGACAGAATTTCAGAATTTAGCATCATAGAATGACAGCACTTCAAGTCATCAAATTGAGAATTTAAAGAATCTTTGGAACATAGAAAAATAGCGAGCATTTTAGCCAGTGCCCGCTGTGTGCTGTGCATGTTCTGTGACTGATTCTTGTATGACATGGCGTTTGCAAACCTCCCTTTCTGGCATGCATCTCGGAAGACGGAGCAGGGTGTTTTCCTCATTCCTCCTACTGATATAGCCCAAACCCAGACATCAGATAGAAAGCAACCACAAGAAGACTGGAAGGCAGAGAAGAAGCAGAGTGGCAAGGAGTCTGAGCCAAAGGAGCAACATAGCAGTGAATTCCTGGGTCTCTTTTTGCCTCATATATCCCACATGTGGAGATGAAAAGGCCAGCCAATAATGCCAATGGGCACAGACGTAAAAGCTCCAATGAAATCCAGTTCTCTTTACCTAAAGGACCAAGAAAAGAGCAACTCAGCCCAAGAGAAGATATAGTAACTACTCCACTCCAGCCAATCCCCACAGAAAACATCTGTGCTCCACCCCTACTTATGCCTGCAAAGGTGGAGAAGGTAGTCTAGACTTCCCATGAGGTTGGGACAAGACACCCCACCTCCTCTGCTGAAGAAGTTCTTCTGTGAGGGCCAAGGACAAGGTTAGGCTTTCATCCTGCAGGACGGTGGTAAGGAGGCTCCACTCTGTCATTGGAGACCATGTCACTGGAACCTGATTTCCTCCCCCACAAGATGTCCTTGTTACTCTGGGGTAATGTCAAAGGAGGCCTTGTGGAGAGATTGAAATCAATAAAATTGAAAACACAAATTATAAAGAAAATAAATAAAATAAAAGGCTAGTTCTTGGAGAAGATCAATAAAATTGACAAAGCTATTTGTCAGCAAAAGTGACAAAGAAAACAGAAGATAGCAGGAAGAACGACCCCACAGACATCAGACCACTAGTAAGGGCCTGGTGACACCACTGCACACCCAAGCATGATGGCCGGGTGATACAGACCTTGAAAAGTACCTGTCACTACAGCTCACCCATTAGGAGACAGACCATTTGTATAGCTCTGTAACTATTAAGGAATTTGAATTAATAATCTAAAATTTTCCAAAACAGACACATCCAGGCCCAGACGATTTCACCAGAGAATTCCCCCAAATGTTTAAAGAAGACCCAAACCCAATTCTATACAATCTCTTCTTCCAGAAAAGGGAAGAGGAGCGAGAGCTTCTAAACTCATTCTGTGAATCTAGTGCTAGTCTGATATCAAAATTACACAAAGACAGTACACAAAAGAAAATAAAGACCAGAGGCTGAGGATGCAGCTTAGTGTTAGACTGCTTGCTTAGCATATGTGAGCTCCCAAGTTCAGTCCTCAACAGAGAAAAGAAGGAGGAGCAGGAGGAGGAGTATACATCATAACCAAGTGGATTTTCTGTAGGAAAGGCTGGTTCAGTTTTTTGGTTTTGTGTTTGTTTGTTTGTTTTTTGGTCTTTTTGAGACAGGGTCTCACTATGCAGTACAGGCTGGCCTTGAGCTCATTTTATAGCCCAGGGTCAGTTTTAGAAAACCAATTTTATCTGTAATGTTAACAGACTAAAGAAGAAAACTCACATGATCATACAATTGACACAGAAGAAGCATTCCCAGAAGCCCTACCTCTAAACAACATAGATTAAATTTCTACCCTCTTATTCCATTAACATAAGGGAGATGGAACCCTTGAATGAGTTGGGGGGACCATACTGAAACCTTAACAGATGTATATTGTAACCCCCAGAGCCATGTGTCTAAGGATTGCTGGGGCCTCTACTCTAGAGGGTACACAAAGTCTTCCCTTTCCAATCTACATATGTTTGAGAGGCTGCATTTCCTTCCTGTCCTTCAGTGAAAGCAACATATCACAAAAGATTGAATACAAAAAGGTTTGGAAGGCCAAATGTTAAGTCAGACATTACAGAGATTCACAAAAATGTAAAACAGCACTACTCATCCCAGTAAATTTGAGGTGAGAAATTCAGTGACAGTTCATGGAAATATGTTAGCCACCATGTAATAAGTATATTATTGCTTTTTAGTTAAATTAATAAGTATTTAAATATTTATTAGAAATTTAATATAGTAAATATTGAAAGATACAAGCCACATAAGTGAATCCAATCCACAAAAATATTTAAGTTGTAAAGGCATCTAGGTCTCACATTTTGAGAACCACTGTTCTAAAGTAACCTCTAAAAAAATAAAATAGGAGGTTTAGCCAAAAATCAAAAAGGGAGACCAAGTGGACTACTAAAAAATACTCGGGGGGGGGGGCTGGGGCTTTAGCTCAGCGGCAAAAGCGCCTGCCTGGCAAGCGCAAGGTCGTGAGTTCGGTTCCCGGTACCAAAGAAAAAGCCAAAAAAAAATAAAAAATACTCTGTCCAAAGCATGAAAGACATACACTTTCAAAATCCATCAAATTGGAAAAATCTTCAGATACCAAGGGGTCACAAGAAAGTGGAAGAATTGGGGCCAGAGATATAGCTCTGCAACATGGCACCTGCCTGGCAAGCGCAAAGTCTTGAGTTCGATCCTCAGTACAAAAAAAGAAAAGAAAGTAGAGGAATGGTAATTATCCCACAGTGCAGATGGAAGTGCAAATCAGATAAACCTTTGAGAGCAATTTAGCACATCAGAACCATCAGATACATGTCCCACACAATGGACTGGCAAAAATCTAAAAGTCCAAGTTTGTTTTGTTTTGCTTGAGGTAGAATCTTACTATGGTGGTCCAGGCTGGCCTGGAATTTGAGATCCTCCTGCGTCAACCTCCTGAGTGCTAGGATTACAGGCATGTGCCACTATACCCAGTTTAAAAGTCTTAAGTTTTGACAGCAGTGGGGTGAAATGGAAACCTTCCTTTGTTGGCAGAATGCCCCTCCCCTGAACTTAGCCACTCTATCCTAGGCTTATGCCTACACGTGCACCAGAAACACATGTACAGTGACGTTCACCTGTAATTGCTAATATTTTCCACAGGATGAACCTACGGCATACACCACTGGAGGTCTGCCCATATACCCATTTCTGTGCCTGCCGACTGATGTGCTTTCCACTGCCAGAATCTGCAACTCTCTGCCTGAGGGCTCTCTCTGGCCCCCAGAGCCTGCTCAGCCAGCGCCTGGGCAGATCGGGGAAGCAAGGAGTTCCCTGTGCCTTCCCCAGCAGTGCACATCCCGTGGTGACTGGAGTCGGAGGCGAACTGTTCCAGCTCCCTCCGCACCCCTCTGGGACAGGTCTTCGGCTCCTCTGCCTACCTCCTGGAAGCCCCAGCAGGACGCTGCCTATGGCCCACAGCAGCACCTGCTTGTGATGGACCTTCTACAGTAGGCTTACCTCCCACTTCCCAGCGCTCCCTGGAATCACCCTCCCAGACCAACTGGGGCTCCCACATCCCTGTCGCAGGGTTGGCTTCCAGGGGAAACCAGTACTAAGCTACAGCGCAAGTGCCTCTTGACAGGAAGGTGGGTAAATATCTTGTGATGTATAGTATACAGTCAGTGCTTCCAGAGCTGCCTGCACCAGCATGGAAAGATACTGAAAGTGTAATTGTGTGTGACAAAAGCAGAGTGTAGAATAGTCGCAACAGTATAATGTCACTTAGGTAACTTCTATTCCAGGCCATCCATGTAGTTCGCGGTGGCCATATGATACTGTTCTGATCAATAAGATAAGAACATGAGACTACTAGGAAGGGTGGGTTCCCGGGAAAGTTTTGTTCTTTCAATAGAGAGAAAAACAGAGAGATGTGACTTCACTTTCCTTGCCCCTCCTCCTGTCTCGATCACGACATGAAAGCAGGAGCTGCAACAGCCATGGAGTGTGCATGAGGAAAAGGTCAAAACAATCACAAAGACACTGGCTCTGACATTATCTGCTCCCTCTGCAGCAGACCCCGGTCCCTTTGGGATGTGAGGAAAACAAATACCACTTGTTTGAACTACTATTCACTGGGTGTTCCGTTACTTGTAGCCAAACACATTTCTACTTACTATGTGAATCATCTGCCTAATGAAACAGGCAGATGTAGGTGGTTGACTATTTTGTCAGGGTGGGTGTGCAAGTTTGGGCTGGGATCTGGAACAGAGCTGAGCTCCCCTGCATGGGAGGGAGAGATCTGAACTGGCTGGGGTACAGGGAAGGTGAGTAGCCTAGGGCCTGGCACAGGATAAGTGCTCAGTAACTGTTTATCAGTATTACTTCTGGGACTGGCTGTGACTCTGTGGTAGAGCACTTGCCTGGCATGCTTGAAGTGCTGGATTCAAGCCCCAACACTGCCAAAACAAACTACTACTATAATTATCATTATATTTACTGAAGTAAAAATAAGAAGAGAGATTAAGGGAGGGAGGAGGGAAGCAAGGGAGGGAGTGAGGAAATGGGAGGGGAGGGAGAGGAGAGGAGGGAAGAAAGGAAGGAAGTTTGTTCTGAGTTTACTGGATTGAGTGGGACCACTCACCGCTCTTTTCCTTTTGACGACCCATGGCACTTATAGTTTTGATTCTGCAACGAGAAAGGAAAGTGATGTAACTGTATTTTATTTGCCTTCCCAGCTCAATTTGCTACGGATACTAAAGTCCTCAAACCAGCATACTCAACAATGAGTAGGTCCTGAGACATGGAGGTCCAGCCCGGTCAAATTCTCATCCACCAAACCCCTGGAAAATCAGTGCAGGATTTACCTGCTATCCTTGGAATGAGTTCCCAAGTATTCAACAGCCCATCTGTCTGCAGACCTGCCATTGTGTGAGCATCTGGTTTTCAATGCTCCAAAGGTTAACCCTAGCCAGATGTGGTGGTGCACACCTGTAATCCCAGCACTAGGGAAGCCGAGGCAGGGCTCAGAGTTTGAGGCCAGCCTGGGCTACACACTGAGTTCAAGGGCAGCCTGGGCTACGTAATGAGACCCTGTCTCAAAAAAAGAAAGTCAGCTCTAAACCCCAGTTTTGAGCACTCAGCTCAGCAGGCTCTGTGCAAAAGATCTGAACCTTCTATTGTAACTCTGAGAGACCAGGAGGTATAGCTTCATGATAGAGCACTTGCCTAGCATGAGATCATGGGTTCAATTCCCAGCACTGTCCAAAAAAAAATCTTTTATTCTAACTTTGAATGTTTGATTAAAGCCAGGATCTGGGAGGGGGCTATGTCAGAGACTGAGGACAGTATTAATTCCCCTCATCCAAAGGGACCTTCCAAACCCTCTATGGGGGCAGAGGGTGGGTATTAACTAGCTCCAACCATTTCCAAAACAGCATGGCCCCCAGTCGTGGTAAGAATGACTTCTAATCATATCCAAAAAGAGAAATCGAAATTGGTTTTCTGCAGGACGACCTTTGCAGCGTGGACGGACTTGCCACACACATTTGTTTTCTGTTATTGTATAATAAATTACCTCAAATTTAGTGGCTTAAAGCACTGCACATTCATTACTCATCGTTCCCATGGGTCAGGATAGTTTAGCCTGATGGTCTGTCCAGGTCCCACAAGGCTGCAACCAAGGTGTTGGCTAAGGACTGTTCTCAGTTTCCAAAGGCTACACGCAGTTCCTTGCAACAGGGTCCCCACAGGGCACTCGCAGCAGGGCTCCAGGCCCCCCACAGCATGTCCCTCTGACTTCCAACCCCGCACCCTTCAAGTTCGCTATGAGGGAGTCTTACGTAACATAACATAATCACGGTAGTAACTATATCATCAAGTTCTCAGGCTCCACCCACACCAAAGGGTTGGGAACCACACACAGCATGTATGCCTGGGGCAGTGAATCTTGAGGGACATCTTAGAACTCTGCTTACCATACCATCCTGCCCTTCAAAGGCCTGTGGGGATGGAGGATACTGCTTCATAAAACTGGCAAAGTCAATTCCCCTGCAAGGAAGTGAACTCATATTCCATTCTGCCAGTCAGGCCCTTCCAACTCAGCCAGAATTAGTCAGCCATCCTGGAAACATCTTTTTTAAACTACATCTTTAATCCTCTCTCATGCTTTCATTTCCATTTTTCATACGTTTATCCAGTTGCTCCAGAGCCCCTGATTGTAAAGATTTTCCTTTCCTCACTGACTTGCATTAGCACATGTCAACATCCAATCAAACACGTAATGTGGATATATCATTAGACACTTGTTTTATTTACTTGCCTATCCTTATGTCACCATCACATGATCTTAATTACTGTAGCTTTCTAGGAAATATTCAAATCAGGCTCCATAAGTTCTCCAACTTTGCATTTTCAGTGTTGTCTTTGCAACTAGGAGTCTTTTGCATTTCAGTATAAATTTTACTCATTTATTTTTAGTGCTGGGGATTGAACTCAGGGCTTTATGCATGCTAAGCTTCACCACTGAGTTATACCCCATCCCCATCAATATAAACTTTAGAATTAGGGACAACCCACTCGGGCCCCCTTCTGTCCCTCTCTCAGACAGAAGCTTTCTTTCCCTCAATAAATATATTATGCTTTGTTTAAAAAAAATAGAATCAGATAGCCAATTTCTGCTAAAAGGCATGTTAGAATTTTGATCAGGTTACACTAAATGTAGAGATCATTAATGAGAAGTGACATCATTAGGTACTGGGCCTTAAATCCATGAATATAGTCTCTCTCCATCTCCTTTTATTTTTTTCCCAATGTTTCCTAGTTTTCAGTTATAGAAGTCAGATATTTGATTTTCTGATGTCATTATAAATAGTATTTTTAAATTTCATTTTAATTATAGATGACACTAACTTATGATAAGCAGAATAATGCCAGCTGCAAAGATGCCCATGTTCTAATCCCTGGAATCTGTTACATATTACATTATAAGACAAAGGAGAGTTAAAGCTACAGATGGAAGTAAGGTTGCTAATCACCTTCCCTTAAAAAGATTATTATGGTTCATCTAGGTGAGCCCAATGTAATCACAACAGTTGTTACAAATAAATGTGAACAAAGGAGGCAGAAGAACAGTGTTAGTGTCCAAGTGATATAATTTGTGAATAGCTGACTTTGAAAATGAAAGGGGACCATAAGCCAAGGGGCCCTAGGAACTGGAAAACACAAGAAAATGAATTTTCTAATAGAGCTTTCAGAAAAGAAGGAAGTCCTGCAAACACTTTAATTTTAGCCCAGCAAGACTCATTTCAAACTTCTGACCTCAGGAACTGCAAGCTAAACTTGTATTTCAGCTTTTAAGAATGTTAGTGGTGGCTGGGGATATAGCTCAGCGCAAGGCACCTGCTTAACCAGAGCATGGTCCTGAGTTTGATTTCTGGTGCCAAAAAAAAAAATGCTAGTGGCTGTAGGTTCTTTCCATCCACCAAACTGAGAGAATTCCCCACTATTCCCTAGTTCTCTGAGGGTTTTCCTTAACAGGTATTTCATCTTTTCCTTTCTTACCCACTTAAAATAGCTTTTTATGTAATTATGCAACTATTACATATCTCATTAAAATGTCTCTTATTATGTAACTAATGCAACCATGAGGGTCTAAGTCATGGTTCTTCAGAGATGTTTAACATTTACTTCTGCCCACTTGATGTTAACATGTTGGCAGGAAGAGATGCCCAGGGCAAAGCCTGTGGGAAGGGGCGCAGTGATCATGCCCTCCAGGGCACAGCCCTCCCAGCACTTCCTGTGTTCAGCAACCCAGAAGCCTTCAGAAGAGACCTTTTTCCCCCCTTTTCCTCCCTAGAGCCTGAGCTGAGAGTCACCAGCTCCCTCGTTGTCTCCCACTGTAGAAGGGTGAATTTGCTCTGGTGAACACCTTTGCTAAGGTGGTACCTCTGAACTGCCCAGCTTTAGTGGGGCTGTCATTTCCAGCTCCTTGCACAGTGGACCCCCATGCTGCTCCGTCAACTCCTGAAGTCTCTTGCTTCCAAGGTGAGCAACCTCTTCCCCAAGGGAAATGAAGAATCAGCTAATCAACTATGAAATACCTGGTTTTCTTCTTTTTCCTTTTTTTTTTTTTTTTTTGGTCTTTGGGGATTTCTCTTCCAACCACCACCACCCCTAATCTCAGCTATACATTTCTAAAGATGTTTGTCATATTTTATTTTAAGGGTGTGTTAGAGTCTTTTCCAGAAGTCTCATCTGCCATACTGCTTGAGATAGAAGTTGTATTACCATCTTGACGAGAAAAGCACTCCAGGAACATGAACGCTTCCCCCCAAAACCACTAAAATCGCACATCTAGAAAAGAAAAGTGGATAAGACTTTTGGAAAATGGCTTTTTTAAAGAAAAGACTCAGATGGATTAGTTGCTCTTATGGACCACAAACAGAGAACTTTAATTGCATTTCTCATTTTGCTTCAGACAAAGTGGAAGGAGGGTATGAATAGTACCAGCTGGTGTTGAATCAGGAAGAACATTAGCTCAGGACACAGCCCGCTTCTTTCATGCCTGGCTCTAGGCCACAAGCCCTGCTGCAGGCTCCCTGGTACTTCCTGCCAAGTGGGCACATCCATGTGGGAACCGGTCTGCTACCCTGGCTTACACACTGCGCTTGCCCTTTGGTCACCTCACCAGAGGCCGGGTTTGTTACTCAGCTGGTTCCTTCAGACTCAGTTTCCTTCCAGCCTGATCCAATTCCTCATTTCCCCTTTGACCTTTGGAAGGTTCCCAGCATGCCTGAGAGCTGAGGCCTTCTGGACGGTAACCTTGAGGAACTGAGATCAAAGTCAGGAACACATGGCTTTCTGACCTCCGTCCTTCCTTTCTCTGGGCATATTTTTGTGAGGATACACAGAATATCCAGGAATGATCTCTCAATAAGTTCATATTCCCATTGTCCTGGGTTATTTGAAAGAAACTCCAACTTACATCAATAGTGTATATAGATGACTTTTGCCTCTCTGCAACAATAACAACAAAATACATAATGTCACAAAAGGTCCACTACTTTTTGCTCTCATTCAACGCGAGTATGCCACAAGCTGATAGTCATGGCATAGACTGCCAAGAGTGCATCTCCAACATCTTGAAGTTTGCTCCCTTTTTAAAAAAGTCAGTCGGGTTGATGTGGAAAGGGACTGATGCAGCAGATGTTCATTTCGTTTTTATAATAATATTTTTAAAAAGTGATGTGTTCCCATCTGTGGGTTTAAGTAGTATTTTAACTGAAAATTGGACATGATTAGCAAAATAGTCGAGGTGATGAGAAGAATGAACTCAGGGTAGTTAAAGGAGAAGACTTATTGGATGTGGAAGAGGAAAGATGGAGGAATCAGAACACAGTCCGGGTTTTTTGGCATAAGCAACTAGGTGAGTTCAGCAGCGGCCATTCTACAGCGATCAACTCAATGTCAGCGCTGAGCTAGGCGCTGGAACAGAGGAAAGAACAATATAGACTAGATCCTGGAGCCTGGCAGAGACAGCCGTTAGACGAATATAATGAATCGTGGTAAAAAGACGAAGCTCTAGGCACTCTGAAAGCAGACAAACTCGTTTTTCCTTGTGAGAAGGAATTAAAGAAATGGAGGCGCCATTCTTGAGCGCAGAAGCAGGTGGAAAGAGGAAGCAAGAACACAAGCTAAGTGGGGTTGCTGTACTCTAGAGTAATTCGTTTCCTTTCGTTGGGTCTTATTTTTCTTAATCTTAAAATGAGAAGCTGGCTTGTCTGCTTCAAGAGGGCAGGGGCTTGTCTGATTCCTCCGTACTCTTTGGTCAGCACTGGTCCTGGTTTTGAAAAGCACTAATTAGAGGGATGGATGGATGGATTGGATGGGTGGGTGGACGGACGGATGGATGAAGGGATGGATGGGTGTTTAGGCGGGCAGGTGGCGGGATGAACGCACCACTATGGGCTTCTCCAAGTCAGGAAATCTGAAATTCTGTGCTTCCCTCGGGGTCACAGAAACCGTTGGGTACAGCCTGAAATCCCAACAGCCTGGTAACTTTCCCGCCAAACAAGTGAGGCTTGCGGGGCATGCACAGCAACTGGGGAGGGGCATGCACATCCCGACGTGTGCTCTTTCCTCTAGTTTAGCTTTCTTTGCCCTTTAGCCGGAATCCCTCCGCGTGGACTCTCACTGCAGGTTCTGAATCTTTCCACGACTTCCCTCCCTTAATCTAAGGACGACGGAAGCATCCGGATCTTTTCCATTCCTACCTTCGGTCGTGACATGGTTCAGTTCTCCAGGGCCTGATCCAAACCGCCTCTGTGTCCCTCCCGAGCCTGTGTTGTGCGTCGTGTTGCCAAGGCGACAGAGGTCCAGATCGCCCCTCGGATTGGATGACCCAAGGACACGCCTGTCTGCGGAGTACGCAGGCTCCGCCCACCAGGGCCCCTGGAGGCTCTTGGGAGCCCTGAACTTGGGGGTTCCCGGACTTTCTCAGTCTTTCTCTCCCCGGCCCTCCTATCTTTTCCGACAGAGGGTAGCTGCGGCTGCAAGCGTTTACGACCCAGCGCCGCCTTCAGCTGTATTTCCTTGATGCAAGAGCGCTCACCTCAAAAGTGGTTTCTCTTCGGTAACTAGAGTGGCACCAAATTTCCTCACTCAAGGAAGGTCCCGCACTAAGTCATTAGGTCATTTAGTAGTGTGGTTGGCCATCTTTGCTGTCTCTCAATCTCTTTCTAATTCTTACGTACCAACTATTCCAAAACACCTGCAACGGCCTCCTGATCAACCTACTAGAGCTCTCCGTCCCAATCCATCCCAATTCGTTGTCTGTCCTGGCGCTAAAGAACATTTTTGAACACAGATCTGATCATCTCTCCCCTGCATATGTAAATTTTCCCTGCTTCCGCATCACTCCTGAGATGAGGATAGGATGGGAATCCTCGCTGAGAATTTGCCAGCCTTATTTATCCGCCCTACCATTTGCCCCCTGCTCTTCCTGTTCCATTCCCCAGCCTTCTTTCAGTTACTGGTTTGACCCTCTTTTCCTATCTCCCACGCTCCCGTACACGCACATCCCTGTTATCCTTGGGGTTCTGTTTACTGTAGGTTTATTTCGCCTTCTCTGTCCGATCTCCACTTGCGTGTTATCTCAGGAAAACCTTTTCTGACCATCCATTCCTCTCCTCTAGGTAGATCTCCCCCACAAGCACTAAGAAAGAAAATGTTTTATTAATTTGCCACTGTGTTCTCAGAGCTTAGCATAATGCCTGACACGTGGCACATAGCCAATACTATCTAGTGAGTGAATGAATGAATATATATATATATATATATATATATATATATATATATATATATATAATGTCATGTTAATTAAGGGGATAGTTACATACTATGAACAAAAACACAGAAAGCTAAAGATACATACCCAAAAGAATTGAAGCAGGTACTGAAAAAAAGATTATACACACATGTTCATAGCAGCACTATTAACAATAGTCAAAGAGTGGAAACAACCCAGTGTCCAGGGAGAGATAAATAATTTGCAATATATACATAGCAATATACACATGAACAGGAATAAAGTCCTAATGCTGACATATGGACAAACCACAAAGCATTATATAAGCCTGGGATAGTGGCACATGCCCATAATCCCAGCTACTTTGGAGGCTAAGGCAGGAGGATTGCAAGTTTGAGGCCAGCCTGGGAAGTTAAGGAGATCCTGGCTTAAAATAAATCATAAAAGAGCTAGGGATGTAATTCAGTGGTAGAGCACCCCTGGGTTCAACACATGTATGTATGTATGTACTAAGTAAAAAAGACACACAAACAGCCCCAAATTGTGTATGTGTGTATATATATTTCAAAAGATTGGTAACCAAAGAACTACAAACCATTAAGAAAAAAATACCCCTATCCAGACTTTCACAAAAGAAAAATGGGTAAAGAATATCATTAAGGAATTTCTTAACAGAAGAAATTCAAATTGCCAGTAAGCCAACCTAGAAATGAAAATTAAAACAATTAGATGACTTGAAATATATCCGCAATGAAAAAATAAAAACATATCAATGCCTTGGTGAAGCCATGTCAGGCCTGGAGAGATGGAAACATTTACATCATACCACTGTACACTGACACTTTGGAAGGTAACTTGGCAATAGCTCCTAAAGCTGAGAATGCCCACACTTGACAGCCCAGCGATTCACTGCTAGATACTACAGGCCCACTGAATACAGCTGCACAGCCCATGGAGTGCCCTTCATCTGTAGCTGATATTCACAGTGACATCTTCTTAAAGAAACTTTGCACCGTCCACGGGACATGTGTAAGGATGTCCTTTGCAACATTCTTTATAAGATGAGAATGTTTAAAACAATTTAAATGTCCATTAGAAGGGTGATAAATGAATAAAATGTGATATATTCTACTAATAAAATACCATACAGTGATAAAATGATCCAGATCTTTAGTAACATGGAAATAGTCCCCCAAAACCTATCATTGAATGAATTTTTTGAAAAGTTGTAGAATGATAAACTTTTTAAGTTTACAATTTATGTTAATTATAAATATGTATATGAAAGTGTGGCCTATGTTCTTGGAGAGATATACGTTTTAAAAGTTTTAAAACATGATTTGGGAGATACACATTGAGCTCATGGGGGCAGCTGCCTGGGGGAAAGAGTGAGGAAAGTGGGGAGAGGACAAGGGACTGCAACCACTTCATGTCTATTTGGAATGCTTTATTTTATTTAAACAACACAGTTGAAGCAAATAGGTTGAAGTATCCTCATCTGGGTTTAAGCATTCTTTTCTCCAACTGAAAACCACATAAGTCGCTGCAATAATAACAGTGGAGTCTAAACAAGTCTAATTGGGATGAGTAAACACTTCCAGGAGGAAGTGAGTTAGGCCGGGAAAGGGGCTGGGAAGAGCCTCACAGGCAGACGGAATGATGCGTGCGGAGTCAGAGGGAGTGAACGCAGAGCAGTGGCCGGGAAAGTGGCACAGAGGGGAGAGAGGAAGTCGGTGAACTCGTAGGTTTGTGTCCTTTTTTACAGATGTGGAAACAGAGTCCTATTGACTAAAGCAGAACTCAGACTTCCTAATTCCTTGTCAACTGTCCCATAATAGTAGTGACAATGATAGGTACCTTAAATATGTCTGCTCTTTCAATCACACTATAGACCCATAGGGGTTTTCTTTTCCTCTTTAAAGATGATGAAGCTGAGGCCCAGAGGAGTTAAGCAACTGGCCCATGGCTGTATCTCTAGTACCTACCCTACGGAAGGGACTCAGTAAGTATCTGCCAAATGATTTGGTGCTTATGAGGATCCTGGTCCATGTGATAGCTGAGATAGGCAGCTCCAAGTATGTTATAAACTCGAGGAAGGAAAAACAAAGTTTTCTTTTTCTCCAAGCACTGCATTTCAATGGACTCTGTTGTCTCTGAGTCCCATTTTGTGACAACACTCCCCTAAAGTCACCTACTATTTTAAATGCAAGGGCGAAGGTGAAAGCTGGAGAAACAAAACAGTTCGGTCCCAGAGCAAGTGTCTGGTCTCAGAACCTTACATGCTTGATCCTAGTAGCCAGGAAGGAAGGGCTTTCATCAACTTCCTGAAAAATACAGATAGGGTCAGGTGGGACCCCAAGGGTACTGTTCCAGGGTCACTCAGCAACTCAGAATGAACATGTTCTTGAACCTCGGTCTTCCAGTACTCATGCCTCTAACGCCTGTTGTAGTTTCCTAATCCAGTCCCCGCATCTCCCTTTCCACACATTTACCACAGATTTCTTGGAGGCCTTAATAGTAGTTATACCTGGTCCCAGCAGAGCCTTTCCAGATGGCACCTGTGCCAGACTGGATAAAGTGATGAGAAGATGGATGGGTGGTTGGAAGGATGGGAGCATGGATGGATGGAGGAAAAGAGGAAGAGAGAGAGGGAGGGAAGGGATGAATAAATGAATGGATGGATGAGTGGATAGATGGGGATGGATGGACGGATGGATGGATAATGGATGGATGGATGTATGGGTGGGTGGATGGATGGATGGATGGGTGGATGGATGGGTGGATGGATAGATGGATGGAGGGATGGGTGGGTGGATGGATGGATGGGTGGATGGGTGGATGGGTGGATGGGTGGATG